AGTCATGGGTGTTCGCATGGATACTGTAAGTTAATGTAAATATAGAGTATGTGCATGGATAAAAAAGGAATTAAGGAAGGGCATTCTTTTTTAGACAAATTTGGGTTTGGATATTTTCGAACGCTTTGACGCGATAAATCTTTTCTATATATATTCCTTACAATATACATGTACACATTGCTTTGTTCCGGTCCAATTAATGCATTTTACTTGAAAAAATAGACGTCTTTACACCTCAAAGTACCTAAGAATTTTGGCTAGACTGCTCTACTTCCGGTTATTGTCTTTGATTATATTTTAATCAGGGTATTTCTGATTGGTCTTAATGTAACACAAAAATCAGGTCTTCAAATAAAAAAATGCAATCTGGAAAATTTGTCAAAGATGTTTAGCTTTTGACAATCTCTTACTGGAGTCGGTGTTAGTCAGGTACCCTTCCAACAATTCCGTTCGCGAACTCTCTACAGTAGTAGAGTTCGCGAACGGAATTCTGGGAAGGGTACCAGAATAGAGTCGTATCAGGGGCGTCGGCAAGTATTTCACATTGGGGAGGCGAACTAGATCGAAAAGGGGGGGGGTCTAACTACTTTTTGTGACATAAACTAAATAATCAAAATTTCTGCAAAAATCTTGATATTAATTTTTCCTTTTAAGTCAATAGCTTAAAAGTATATCCTGATTAAAAAAGAATAATTTAATATGCAACAACAACAAAAAATGCTTTATGAGTTTTAAGTTACATATACTATAAATTAAACAAAACCGGGTCAGTTTTAAATAGCTTGGAGATAGTTTGTTTAAATTTGTTGGGTTTTTTTTTCCCGAAACGTCATAGAAAGAACTTTGAAGGCTTTATGACGAGGTATACGTAAATATTAAAATACATATAATTTTCTACTATTGTGCTCGTATAATGTGTCTTTTTACTTGCCGAAAGAATGCATAATTAAGAAATTAAAATTGAGCAGGGGGATTAATCTTCGTAATACCTCCATTTTTGAAATGCAGAAAAACGTATGACATTATAAAAAATATCGACTGAAGTTGTTTAAATAGTAAGTATTTTGCTTTAATTTAATTGTTTACAACTCGATTCATCAAAGATTTCCTAACACTAATCGACCGATTAGTTAGATAATGAACAGGCCTGTTATACGCAGAAGGGGGGGGGGCGCCTCCAACTTTTCCCCCCACTTTCTCCACTTGTTTTCTGAGAAAAGTCTTTTTGCTTAAGTTTTGATGTGTAAAAATTCATTCATTTAGACGCTGCTTGCTCCCCCCCTTTCATACAAACCTTTTGTTTGTATGTATGTGCATTGTATTACATTTATATGAAAATACACAGGTGTTTACAATGTACTTTCTTTTTGCCCATGAGGGTCCTTAATTGGCAAATAAACAAACTGAATTGAATTGAATTGTTGCAGTTAGGTTGAACTCGGGCAAACTCCAGCATTTGAAAAGAAAAAAAAAGTTGGAGAACCCCCACCCTGCTCCCAAAACATAGAATTTCCAAAAACGTTGCTAGCTGTGGGCCTGAAGAAGAATTTGTAGCAAACTTGCAAGTAGCGATGGATACCATGCTTATTGTTGCACATGCCAGATACAGGTACAGTATATACGTACATCCCAATTTGCGTCTTTATAAACAAACAGTAGCTTTCACACTTTGCCGCTCCATTAATCACAGATTGCCGTTATTCGTGCCGCTCCATTGACCACAGATATCGCCATTACAATTTTTGTTATTCTGTATTTCTCATTGAAAATTCCATTTTTCTTATTTATTATTATTTTTTTTTTATTTATTTATTTTTTTTTTTTGGCAAAATTATTGGGGCGGCGACCGCCGCCCCTGCCGCCCCTTTGCCGACGCCCCTGCGTATGTTTCACTTTTGATAATTTTCTATAGCTTATTTAAGCAATCAAAATTTATCTTTAAATTCACTGCGATTGTTACCGAAAGTAGAGGAGGCTAGCAAAAATCTAAATATTAGGCACTTAGAGATGTAAAAATTCTTCAAGTAAAATGCGTTGGAGCGAAATGAAGCAATGTATATATTGTAAGTAAAGCATATGGAAACGATTTATAGCGTCAGACCGTTTGAAAAAACATCACATTATACCCCAAACCCAAATTTGCCTAAAAATTTCTGATCGAAACTTGTCCGTTGTCTGTCATCGTCGTCGTAAATTTTTCACATTTTCATTTTCTTCTTGATCCAGAACCACTGGACCAATTTCAACCAAACTTGGCACAGAGTATTCTTGGGTAAAGGGAATTCAAGTTTGTCCAAATGAAGGGCCACATCCTCTTCGAAGTGCAGATAATTAAGAAATAGTGAAAACTGCGTTGTGTCATTTTAAAATCTTCTTAAGAACCACTGGGACAAAATAAACGATGAATTTATGTGAAAGCTTTATAAGATACAGTGAAATCCCTCATTTTAGTGGGAATTTAATTTTCGTCATGTTCGTGGTATGAAGAGATCCAAAAATTTATGTTCTCCACTGAATGTAATAGTTGGAATATGTAACAACTCAACACCTCTTCAACCACGAAATCTAATCCCCACAAACCAATATTTTTTCCTCAAACCACGAAAATTTGACCCCCCAAAAATCAATTTTACAGTACATTTTACATAGGAATACATATGGAAAAGTTTTTAAAAAAAAAAAAAAAAAAAACTTCTCAAGAACAGCAAAGCTATGATTTATCAAATTTATATGGAAGCATCCTCAGGTAGTGTAGATTGAAATTTGTTCAAATCATGACCCCTGGGCTTAGGATGAGACAACAATATGTGTTCAAAGTTTTAAATAGGAATATAAAAAGGAGCAATCTTTAAAAAAAAAATCTTCTCCAGAACAGCAAAACCATGATTAGTAATATTTAAATGGCAGCATCCTCAAGTAGTGTAGATTCAAGTTTGTTCAAATCATGACTCCTGGGAGTAGGGCGGGGGGGGGGGGCATGATATGTGATCAAATTTTACATAGGAATATATAGGGGAAATCTGCTGATGAAAAGAAGCAGGGTCATAGGTGAGCGTTGTGGCCCCTTGGCCTCTTTTTCATGTTTGTGTCGTCAGCCTCCTACGTAAGTTGTTATCGAACTGCACCATCGACTATAGTTGTTCTCCTCCGATGATCTATATTCATATAATGTACAGTCTTTGTTGTCTATACATTGTTGACGTCTTTCTATCTTTGTTGGCTTTTTTTTTTGGGGGGGGAGGGGGTCCTTTTTCAGTTAGAATCGATCCGTCTTCGACTCAATTAATATATAGCTCAAAGTATATGTATATAATTATGTTGTCGTCTATCTTTGTTTAACAAATATTGTAGCTTGTCTTTAACAGTAATAGTTGTTTTTTTCCCTTTATTTTTTACTGTGGTGTTTTTTCTTTATTCTTAATATTTGTCGTTTATCTTATTTTTATTTATGTCGTATATTTTTATGTTTTGTCTTTTTAAAGCACTGTCTTTCCTCGTTCGTGACTGGTGTCATCTTTCTTTGGTCGTCCCGTTTTTATTTTGTTTTGTACCTGTTGTCTTCTAGTTTCTATAAGTGCTTTTGCCTTTCTTTATCATTTACTTGGGGGGGGGGGGGTCTTCAGTTGCTGTAGTCAGTAAATATCTATAAACGTTGTCGGCTTTACACAGATAAGAGGAGTAATAATAGAAGAGTAAATTAGAGTGTTTCGATGGTTTTCTTAAACTAGGAGAGCAACAATCGTTATTACAGCATACTCGCCACATATAACCTATTGTTATAACTGCATTCGTAAATATATTAAAGTCGTCTTCTATGTACTTTTTTGGTTTAAAATGTTAATGAATCAAGTTAGACCATTCACAAATGCGTCTTCTTGAAGTATGACATTTCACTTCCTGGATATCCCTTTTGTTTCGGTTGAGGGCGCTACAATCCCTCACTTCCCGTTCCGTCTCATTATCTGATGTTCTGATGCCTACAGCTGGAGATCCGTTTGGCCACATCCAGTCTCCCTCGATTTCTTCGTCTGATGCTCCAACATGCCAGAAAGTGATGTCAGGGTCTATGGAGAAAATGAGTTGTTTACAATTTAAATTGACAGTCAGCCTTGAAATTAAAAAAAGAAATCAATTGAAAGGCAAAAAACTCGGGTCTATAATTCCCTTTCATTATCTAAAATTAATGACTATATAATTTAGTCTTAAAAGGGGAAAAAATGAACTTGATAATTACAGATTACAATCTAGATATTTTAGAAGTGAGTATTTCAATTTGATAAACATTCATCAATTATCTATGAGAAAAACATATTTTTTTCTGAATCTTATATATTTATAATAAAAGTTGCACCCATCTGGAGATTCCGACCTCGTAAACATACTTTGATCCTATTGCGTTTTAGGAATTGTCGTCGTACCTGTCAAGTATATACTCGAGAGAAAAAACTGACAATAAATTGCTTTACTACATTTTTGGAAAACGGTATAAACAGGCCAAATAAACACTTTTCTTCATAAAACATTCAAGGTTTTGGTCCCCCCCCCCTTGTCGGAAAGTTTATTCCCACTCAGCCAACAATTCTGAAAATCCTCAGAGTTTCAATTGTACACGTGTGCTAGTCCCCAAGGATGTTTTATTAGTCCCCTACCGGTGAAATCGGAGAGGACTATAGGTTTCCTCTGAGTCTGTCCGTCCGTCTAGCTGTTCGTCTGTCTGTCCCTCTGTCAGTCTGTCCCACTTGGTTTACCGCACTTTTTTTCTAATCTTTGCAGTTATTGAGCTGATTTTATGGTATGTGAGTGTATCTTGAATAGTTACAGATCAAGTTTGCATTTCGTTCCGCTACAATTATTTTTGACGGAATTACGATCATTTCAATTTTTCAAGGTTTTCCGCAAGTTTTTTCTAAACGCTTGCAGATATTGAGCTGATTTTTGGTATGTGACTATACCTTGATGAGTTATAGATCAAGTTTGCATTTCGTTCCGCTTCATTGATTTTTGACGGAATTATGGCATTTTCAATTTTTAACGGGAACCAGATTACACTTGCCGGTAGGGGACTAGTATTGCTAATGCAATACTCTCAGAATGCTTGTTTATGAAGCATTTTTAAAAACTTATCCGGAGTAAGTCACAAAGACGCTTACATTTAGTGCCAATGTAGTTTGTCATGAAGTTAATTTTGGCTACTGTATCCAGAGAGACCAATTGTCCTCCGACTCCCACGCAAGCGTCCCGAGACTGATTCCATGGTAACTCGTTGCCAAACAGTTCAAAACATAGATTATGCTGGCTGTTGAAAACATGACCCTGATTTTCACAATCTGTAAATATATTATGCTGCTCATTTTTTTTAAATATTGCAGTAGTTTATGAGTTTTCATCCTACTAATATTGTAAGCAATGTAAAATGTAATATAATAGTATATTCCACTAAAAATGAATGAAAGAAAGAAAGAATGGCCTACACGCACCTGGCACAATCTTGACGAAGTTTTCAATGCCATTTATAGTCATTGACGTATAATTCTGAAATGAATAAGGTTTGCAGACTTTTGCCGTGATATCATAGAAAATCCCAGTACAAATGCCGATCTCAGCACATTTGAGGCAGCATCCAATCACACTAGCGCCATCTATTGATGAGATTACGCCAGAGGTGGCTACTGATGCAGCAGTAAATACATCCCCATCAGTCAACTGAAAGGAAGCGAGCTTCCTCTCCTGTTCTGAAATAAATGAATAACGCACTGTCATTTGCTCAAATTACTATGCATTTTTAGTCCCCTACCGGTGAAACCGGAGGGGACTATAGGTTTCCTCTGAGTCTGTCCGTCCAACTGTCCGTTTGTCTGTCCCTCTGTCAGTCTGTTCCACTTGGTTTTCCGCACTTTTTTTTCTAATCTTTGCAGTTATTGAGCTGATTTTTGGTATGTGAGTATATCTTGAAGAGTTACATATCAAGTTTGCATTTCGTTCCGCTTCAATTATTTTTGACGGAATTACGATCATTTCAATTTTCCAAGGTTTTCCGCAATTTTTTTCTAAACGCTTGCAGATATTGAGCTGATTTTTGGTATGTGACTATACCTTGATAAGTTTGCATTTCGTTCCGCTTCATTGATTTCGACGGAATTATGGCATTTTCAATTTTTAACGGGAACCAGATTACACTTGCCGGTAGGGGGCTAGTATTGCTAATGCAATACTCTCAGAATGCTTGTTGTTAATGACTTCTTTAAAATTTACATTGACAACCCTTTACCCGGCAAAAAATGAAATTCTTGCAGATAAAAGCTGCTAAGTACTGGTTCCAAAACGCTAGTGATTTTGTTACGGAAATATATCTGTTAGCACTGTCATGTAGCATTAAAACGTCAGTAGTTGTGCCTTAATGATGTTATATCAGTACCGAATCCCCACTAAAACAAGTGTCTTGTTATGATGTTAGAAATTTTCATCCTTCAAGTGATGGATTTTAATCCGCTCTCTTCTTTAGACAGACAGACTGACAGACATGTAAATATAAAATGTGTCGTTGGTACTTCGTAGGGAATTACAACTTTTTGTATCCTTTAGCATCGATATTGTTTAAAACATAATTTATCTAGTTCTACTGATCGTAGCTTTATTTCAGCAATTAAAAACTTACTGTCGTGCAAGAAGATAATATTTTATTATGTCTTTCTACATCATATTCAATATACATGTCCTCTACCAAATTATGCATTTTTTAAAAGGAGATGGGTGAACAAGGCCGGCGTGCAGAATGCCTATAGCTTCAGATAAATGAAAATCATATTCAGTTCTCATTATTGAAATTTATGAAATCGTGATAAACATAACTTTTCTGAGAAAAATTTTCTTGGCAAAAATTATTCTGTTATTAAAAAATAATGTGGTATTCGTGGGGTTCGAACCCTAGCAATAAAAATCCTGAGTATCAAACGCGCTAACCACTACGCTTACGCAGCTCCTGATGAATAGTGGCATTTAACGTAGTACACAATAGAAAGACCAAAATTTTCCTCAATTTTCAATTTTGTTTAAACTTTGATATTTTGTTCTAGGATACAAAATCTGTCTTTATATGTAATATGAAAGAAATTCAACCATAGATCTTTTGCCCACATAGTTTGAAAAATGGCCTATCAGACGCCTGTAAGAAAATTGTGAAATTAAACAGCCGACCTGAGATTGTCCATTATTTAAAAATAACCAATTAATATATTGCAAACTTGTGTGATGCTGTTTATAAAGGCAACCTTTTTGTATTAAAATTTAGTAAAATAGTTTGATACTGGTACATTTGAGTAAAATGTGATGTAAAAATAGAACATACATAGCCCTGGAATTGAAAATTCACATGTAAATATGCCACACGTTAAGTCATCAGAAAAGAAAATGTATTATTGGATTTTTTACACAAAATCAACAGAATAATTGAAATGGAACCCAGATTAAAATATGTCAAAATGAGGATATTTGAACCAGCGGGTTCAGATATTTTAGCGATTTTAAATAAATCAAAATGCAAAAAAAATGAACAGATTCAGTAGATGACATTACTATATTTGATCTTTGACCTCTTAATATGACCTTGACCTTTATTGTACAAAAAGAATGGACACCTGTTATAAACATGTTTAAATATCAGGTCCCTACTCTAAATGGATCAAAATTACTTTGCATTGAATAACAGACATTCATATGGCATGTAGATGGCATAAACACGATACAAAATGTAGGCTCCCAGTCCCAAATGACCAATATATAGGATGTCTCTAATTTTTCTTCAAAATATGGTGAAAACATGTCACAGCTTATTATAGTGAAATTATTCTTTTTTTCTGTGTACTTTATAAGATAAGCGTTAAAACAGATATCATGGGTGTTGTGTACTACCTTGAATAATGTTTGTGATATGACCCTTGACTAAATGGACTTCAAGTATTTCTTGGATAGATGCGAATGTTGTGTCATAAAAGTGTATTTTTAAGGTATGGTGGGTCTTTACTCCATGTTTTTGTTAACCAAAAAATGTACATTTTTACGCAAACGTTGAGGATAACCCTTCAATAAAATGGAGCGAAGACCCACTCATATCGAAAATTTGTGTTATAATAGTCTGAGATAATGATCCTTTTTGCCCTCTTTAGTGTGTGTATGCAATTTCACAGGGAAATATTTTCAATCTTTGTGAGATTTTTGCAAATTGTGGAGAATTTACATAAATGAGTAATACAAATTTAAATTGAAGCCACAACACTCACTAGAGTCACTTTGGCCCTGCTGTTCTTCATCTTCAGATTAAAAAGAAAATTTTTTTTTCCAATTTTTTCACATGTTCTGCAGAAGTAACCATTCATAAGGTAAAAAAAATAGTTCCTTGACTTTAGTCCTTCTCTTCTAACTCTAGGATACATAATTTGAAAAAGAAAAATGAAATCCATTAACTTTTGAAATTTTTTCTATTTAAATGCTATTTTCTCAAAGAATTTTATAAAATAAAATCATTACGTATTTACATTCTTTTTGAAATCTTGACCCCTGTTGTGGCCTAAACTTACACAGGGATTGTGTGATTTGAAGAAACTTGAATCAGTCTGGATTACCTTAGGATGCTTGCATTTTAATATCAGTGATCATGGCCGTGCTGTTCTTGAAAGACATTTTTTCCTTGTCTATTTATTTCCAAATAAAAGCTTGCTCCCCTTTAGTGGTTCTATCCGACTCCCTATGGACAGTAATTGATGAAAACTGAATCTGCAAAGTGACCGCACTACCTGATGATGTTTACATATACATATTGATATCACTCATCATTGTCCTACTGTTCTTGAAAGGATTTTCAGACATATCCCCTATATATATGTGAAAGCTTTTTTACATGGTGTAGATTCAAGTTACATGTAGTTCAAATCGTGATTCCTAGGGGTAGCTAGGATGGGGCAACAATGGGCAATCAAAGTTTTACATAGGAAAATATACGATGAATCTTTATAAATATTCTTCTCAAGAACAGCAAAACCATGTATAGTCATATTTATATGAAAACATCCTCAGGTAGTGTTGATTCAATTTTGTTCAAATCATCCCCCCGAGGGTAGGATGGGGCCATAATGGGCAATCAAAGTTTTACATACAAATATATAGAAAGAATCTTTAAAAATGATCTTTCAAGATCAGCAAAGCCAAGATTAGTCAATTTATATGGAAGCATTCTCAGGTAGTGTAGATTCAATTTTGTTCAAATTATGATCCCCGGAGGCCACAATGGGCAATCAAAATTTTACATAGGAAAATATAGGAAAAAATCTTCTCACGAACAGCAAAGCCATGATTAGTTATATCTATATGGAGGTATTCTCAGGTAGTGTAGATTCAATTTTGTTCAAATCATGATCCCCGGTGATAGGATGATCAAAGTTCTACATAAAAAATACAAAGATTTTTTTAAATCTTCTTCTCAAGGACAGATTTGTTGAAATTGCCGGGTCAACTGGTTCGGAAAAGAAGATGTTCAAGTTTGCAACAACGACGATGACGCCAACGATGACAACGGACAAATTTTGATCAGAAAAGCTTACGTAAGCCTTCGGCATAGGTGAGCTAAAATGTCTAATTTGGTAAAGGACATAAATTCTTTAAATTTTAGTTTGTGTGAATTTTCTTAAAATACCTCCATAAACGTATAATTTTCTAATTATATTTTTAAAGACATTCAACAACAAAAATTATATAACGTATAGCCCCTTCCATTAAATATTTCAAAATGACAGAAACATAGTCTAAAATTATGTTGAACAAAAATGACCAAAAAATCTCGTGATAATTTGGTTCTCAATTCTTCTTTGGATATGACTTTGACAAGTGTAGAACTATGTGTACTATTTATGTCCAGTTTCAGCATTGCAGCTTTCCTACGTTAGCAATATGACAGAAAGAAAAAATTACCCTTAAATGAAAATAATTGTGGATCAATCAATGTTCAAAAACGTCAAGAGACTTTAACTTCGTTGTTTGGACTTCGAACAGCTACAAGGCAATGTTTGCTTATGGACTTTTACATTTCTACCAAGTTTAATTTAATAAGACTAACATTGTTAGACGAGTATTACACTTGAAATTTGTTTTTCTTGTAGACTACACTTGCAGGTCATATGTCTATGAAACGTGTCAGTATTAAATACTATTAAAGGAAATTGATTTTTAAAAATATTTTTTTTTTTACGAACGGGTAGTAAAATGAAAAAGGGTGAAGATAACGAACAGTGATTGATCTCATAAGAACTTGAAACAATACAAATCTGTAAACAGGACATAAAACACGGACCCTGGAAATTCCGGAGGTGGAATCAGGTGCCTAGTAGTAAGCATCCCTCGTCGACACCGACACCGGTCACACCCGCCATGAGCCCTATATGTAATGATCAAGTGGACGGAACATTCCGTAGTCAAATTAAGTATAGAAACAAAGGTTTAACAATTGGTAGGAAACAAGTCGGCCAAAAATACGACCCAATGATATATATTTGCTTATAAGGTCATTATAACGGCCATAGAATTTACGGAGTGCTGACTTTAAAGGAGGTTATTGAAAATCCCTGTAACATCAACTTATGTGTGAGTAGTGGCTAGCCTGCCTCGGTTTAAAACCTGGTCATACCCAGAGTACTCTCCTGAGTAGCAAATAAGTTAGGAGACATAAACACCATATGCAGGTGATAACGGAATATTACTACATAAGTCAGGACAGTCGACGATGGAAAAACTGAATTCATCTCATTAGTGATACAATTTAGTTGTTAGTTGGCCTTTGTCATGGTCATTAAAACACCCAGATATGAAGCAGATGAGGCAGACTCTGTGGTGTCTTTTGTTTCAAGTTTACTAGGATAAATCGAGTCGAATATAAATGGAAATAACTATTGTTCATTGATAAAAAGTCGTCGATATATCTGAATGTCGAGTTGAAGGTTTTGTTCTATTCATGTAGCAGTTTTCGAATAAATTCTGCTTCATATGAATATAAAAACAGGTCGGTTAATAAAGGAGCACAATGAGTGCAAGAATGTTAATATTGTATCAAGTACTTTTGAAGATTTAAGAATATTGTATCTTTATATAGACTTTTTTGGTATCCGTTATATTACATCGGACAAAAACTGTGCAAGCAGTACTTTGACTTACTTTTGTCTCAGTATTCTGTATACTTTTAGTAAGAGCGCCACCTTTATTAACCTACATTCAAATTAATACGTCTATAATAAATGGGTCAATTTTAATTGAAAGGATCCCAATACAGTGTAGTTCAAAACGTTCCAAGTTATAATGTGGGGGTAAAGGGTGTGTCCACCGCAGCTAGGGTCTCACGAGTGTTCCTCGACTTTGAGAATTCCATTGTTAACCTACTTCATTTTAATATTTAAAAATAAAATTTCTCCTGGTGGAATGGGGAAGGGGGATTAGACTAACTCTGGAGGGCTCTTGAGAATTTTGGAAGCAGGTAAATATATCCTGGTCGATCTGTCAATATGGCAGTTTGTCTCATTTCACTTTGTGGATTTGGAGACAGGAGAAACTGTATAATCTACCCGTTAACCGTGCAAAATTTCTCTTTCGCGTTACCACCAGTTTCACACGCATATTTACCTTATCTATAAGTTTAATATTAAAATGTATGAGTAAACAACAAATAGATATATTACGTTCAAATCTTAATTATCATATTTTTTCATAATTAAAAATAAGAAGTCTGTTTTACCGTCTGATTCTGATATAATCCCAAGAAAAAGGATGAGTGTTGCTCCTAGTATCATCTTCTCCCTAGAAAGACATTGTTTTCTGTTTGTGCACAGACTCGGTATGATATTACAATAAAGATCACTTTTTTGATCACTGATGTTTTAACATTTGAAATTAATGAGGAATCGAATCTCAAAGGTTGTTCTTAATTGTTAATTCCCCTGTCTGTTGTCTTCAATTTATTCATTAAAATTGTTAGCTCCGGGAAATTCAATATCATCATTCACTTCTAGCGATCGCTTCAGCATAGACGCATTTGATCAAAATGTTTATATTAAAGAGATAATTAAACCAGGATGACGTGAATGACTGCAAAGAGAGGAAAATACTAATGGGAATAGTTTCAGTTTGGTGAGGTATCGAGGCCTGTGTAGTACATGTATTTTGATTTTTTTTTTTTTTTTGACAAAGAAGTACAAATTAAATGACTAGCACACTATGGTTCTGCCCTTTTTTACTCAATTCAGTAATCTATAATGGTCTTTTATACAATTTTCAAGATTTTTTTCCTTCATTCGGCTATGAAGTTCACACGTTTATGACGTCATTTTTCTGGAATCAAAATTAAAAATTGTTAGCTTAACTTTAATAGTCGTCGTGCTTTAATATCTTTGATAACTTAAATATAATAATACCTTATATATAATAATACCTCAAGCCCTCCTCGTCCAAATCAGTAAATGAAAAAAAATGTCCCTTTTCCAGATAAAAGTATTGGGGTAGACCGTACATTTTTTAAATATTAATTTAGTGATTAAGATGGGAGTGACTATGAAATATGCACAATATCTACTCGTACACATATGAAGATTTTTGAAAAACTCCTAATTCTTATATATATAGGGTACTTTGTACGTCGGTAGCTCACAATAACGTTTTTATCAGAAAATTAGGTAGACCTAAGCCTAACTTACTTTCCAGTCACAATATTAACCATATGATTTTTCCTTGCAAATATTTGGGCGCCAATTTGGGAAACATGTTCAACAGATTTATACTTCAACAGACATGCATTACCTATATTACCTATAATGTATAAATTATACCCTCTGCATGCAAGAGGTCAAGGTATGTACATGAATTTATATTACAATATACGGGTAAAGAAACACACACACCGATCAAAATGAACATGAAATTTAATTGTTTAAATAATATAATCAAAAGGAATATCTTTCATAGTGATATGTACTTAAAAACGTTGTAACATAATTTGTTACGCAATTGTCATTTGATAATCCACAAATACCCATCCACCTATTCTAGGTCTTTTCGACTTTTTCTTCCTACAATATTTTTCTACTAAAAAACCACAACTGTTGCACAAGAAATACAAAGTTAACTTCCTCAGCAAAAAAATCATAAAAACGCCCGCTCTAGCTAGTTGTTCTTATCCTTTAAACAATTTGTATAGATACACGCTTTTGATGATAAATTTCAATATTTCATAATAATTTTTAACACTGATTTGTCATTTTTAAACATAATAATTGTTTATGAAAAACGAACAATTTCAAGCTTAGGGAATCTTTGAAATTCGTGTCCAATTATAAATTTAGATCCGCCTCTTCGTCTAAGACGGAAAAATATACTTACTCACGCATGCGCTCTGGACTTGCCGCCATGTTTCATGGATCACAACATTGGACGAAAAAAGAAATCTTTATGCGTGTGTTGGGAACAATGATGTATAGGTAACACTTTGAAGGAATTTCATAAATTACTGTGATTCATCTTATATAAGAAAAATGGCGTGTTTGGCCAATTTGAAACAAGACATTAAATTCCTGGAAAGTGTTTTCCCAAAAGACCACAAAGTTTTCCAGATTTTGTCAGCCTCGGTTGATGAATTAACGTGTCGATTTATCAGTCGAGAAGGTCGGAAGTATGATGTTCACGCAAATATTATGGTAAGCTCAAGTGTGAAATGAGGCTTTTTTGTAATATCTTTTCATTCAAGTTTACTCTATGCAAGTCAGGAATCATGCGCAGTTTTTGTACAACTGAAGTTCAAGTATTTTGTCACTACAAGACCAGCTGTAAACCAGAACAAAAGGAAGTATATTTCCCTTTTTCATCCATCAGCCTCGTATGTGGTAACGAAGTGATTGTCTTTAATTTAAAAGTACTAAGAAAAATAGATTTATCGGTATTTTGTTTGATCAATTGAAATATTAAGCTTATATTTCCTGAATTTGAAATTATGTTCATTACTCTGCTATTATCTATGATTTATTATTAAGTATGAAAACAATATTCTTAATATCTTTGATAAGATGCTATGTTTACATTAATAGGAAACCTACCCTCAGTCAGCTCCAATCTGGTTCAGTGAGGATGACGATACCATTGTGAGCAATGTAATATCCAGTTTAAGTGATGCCCCACCAGATAAAAACAATGTGAGTATTGGATGTGTGAAATATATCCAGAATTCTTGTATGTGCAACTTAAAATTACAAAGTGAGATTCATTGGAGTATGATCAGCTCAGGGAGTGTAATTATTACTTATAGGTTTGTTACTGTCTACGGAAAAATATCTGGTTGATTTAATTTCATAGACAGTAAGGCAAGAGCCGAGATTGATCTACATGAAATATAAATAAATATTAACATTTGATATTTATTTTATTTATAAAGAGTATTAAAAGCTTCAGAATTTATAATACCATAACATATGTGATTGACCAAAAACAATATTTGAAATTCAGGAAAACTATTCTATTCATATTCAAATATTCATATATTAAGTATTTTTTCCCCAAAATGTTAATACCTACCATTTGCAGATCACCTTTAATTTTGTATGTATATATTTTATCAGTATAAATACTTCATGTTAAACTGTGTCCATATTTTAGGTAAGTATGCAACTTATAAGAGTTGGATATTAATAAGTAGAGAATTTACAGAGAGAAGATTTTTTTCACCTTTTTTTCTTGGAGTGTGATATTGCCATGTTACATAATTAAATAAAATGAAGCCTACTATCCTTTTAATAATTTCTGTGTTAGTTTGATTCCTTTCTTAGTTTTGAAAAATTGAACTGTTTTATCCAAAGTTTAGGGTCAAATCACTGCGTAGCTATAATACCATATCATTTACACTGAATCATGGATTATGTTAAGTTGGCCAGTTTGTATTATGTTACTGATACATGGTAATAAAAACTTTTTATTAAAAAGTAGAAATTTTTCCAATACATTTTATTTTTCAGATTCTTCATCAAATTCGTATATTGGTGTCTGAACTGTGTGAACTGTTTGATATGTCTGCCTCAGATTCCATAAGTCAACTTGATAAGTTCTTACGAGATAGAGTAAGTGCAGACATTTTTAGGTCACCTGAGTAACTCAGGTGACCTTTTGCTATCTGTTTTCGTCCATCGTCGTGCGTTAACTTTTGAACATTTTTAACTTCTTCTCTAGAATCGCTCAACCAATTTCAACCAAATTTGGTATATAGCATCTATGGGTGAAGGGGAACAAAAATTGTGAATTTCATGGTCCCTGCCCCCCCCCCCCCCCCCCCCCCCCCCCCCCGGGCCTGAGGGGTGGGGCTAAAACCACCAAAAATAATGCAATCTTTAAAAATCTTCTTCTTTACTCCTGAACATCAAGCAGTCAAACTGTTGGCATCATTGTAATAAGCATTGAGCCCTCTACCAAAATTGTGAAATTCATGGCCCCAGGGTCAGGGGTTCTGGCCCCAGGGCTGGGCTCTATTGATTATATAGTGAAAATGCATTAATTCTTTGAAAATCTTCTTCTCTGCTCCTGAGTATTAAATAAAGGAACTAAGTACATAGTTATGATGAGCAAAAGTGCCTTTTCCAAAATTGTGAATTTCATGGCCCCAGGGTCTGGGGTTCTGGTGTTAGGGCGGGGGGCTCTATTGATTATACAGTGAAAATGCATTAATTCTTTGAAAATCTTCTTCTCTGCTTCTGGATATTTAATAAAGTAACTAAGTACATAGTTATGATGAGCAAGAGTACCTTTTCCAAAATTGTGAATTTCATGGCCCCAGGGTCAGGGGTTCTGGTGTTAGGGCAGGGCTCTATCAACTATATAGTGAAAATGCATTAATTCTTTGAAAATCTTTTCCTCTGCTCCTGGGCATTAAGGTGATAAACTAAGTACATAGTTATGATGAGGAGGTAGGCCTCTTCCAGAATTTTGAAAGCCATGGCCCCTGGGTCAGGGGTTCTGGTGTTAGGGCGGGGCTCTATTGATTATATAGTGAAAATGCTTTAATTCTTTGAAAATCTTCTTCTCTGCTACTGGAGACTATTTAAACAAACTAAGTGCATGGTTATGATGCATAAGGATGCCTTTTCAGAAATTGTGAATTTCATGGCCCCAGGGTCAGGGGTTCTGGTGTTAGGGTGGGGCTCTATTGATTATATAGTGAAAATGCTTTAATTCTTTGAAAATCTTCTTCTCTGCTACTGGAGACTATTTAAACAAACTAAGTGCATGGTTATGATGCATAAGGATGCCTTTTCAAAAATTGTGAATTTCATGGCCCCAGGGTCAGGGGTTCTGGTGTTAGGGTGGGGCTCTATTGATTATATAGTGAAAATGCATTGATTCTCTGAAAATCTTCTTCTCTGCTACTGGAGATTATTTAAACAAACTAAGTGCATGATTATGATAGACAAGGATGCCTCTTTCAAAATTTTTAAATATATTGCCTCAGTTTTTGGGGTTCTTGAGGATGTGGGGAGGGGGGGGGAGGGGGGGCTCTATTGATTATATAGTGAAAAAGCATTAATTCTATTAATTAATCATTAACTATCCTGTCTGCTCCTTAGTGTTGAGCTGATAAATAAATTGCTTAGCTATGATGAAAATGGGAGCTTCGAACAGGATTTTTAAATCTTGTGGTCCTAGGGTCAGGGGTTCTGGCATAACGAGGGGGGGGGGGGGCTTTTGATAATATAGTGGAAAAGTGTTAATTCTTTGAAGTCCATAGTTATGATGATGAGGGTAACTCTTCCAAATTTGTAAATTTCTTGACCCTTAGTCTTGGGTTCTGGTGTTAGGGTAAGGCTTTGTTGATTCTGTAGTGAAAATGCATTGTACCTGTGAAATTCTTCTCTGCTTCTGGGCATATCGGAAGCAAACTGAGTAAAAGTTTAAATGATATGAGTAAGCGTATTTCTACCAGATTTTTAAACATCTGGACCATTCGTCTAAGCATTCTGGTCCTGGGCAGGGCTCTATTAACTTGTATTCTACTGAGAGAAGTTATTCCCCTTTTCCATTCACCTTTGATAATTAATCACTGTAAATAATGTATTTGAAAGGTTAATAGAATAAGATAATTATGCAAGAATGTTTATCGTATAATTAAAAAAGTACTTTCTTAGTTTTAATAATCAGGTAGACCTATAAGTAATAGATAAATAAAAATGAGACAAAAATAACTTATCTTATTAAAAGTTCTTCAAAGACCATAAGAGAGGTCAATGCTAGAGGTCTTAATATGGGTTTAAAAATAGTACAGAAGCACTAATAGTTTGTTAATAGTCTGCATGGTGATAGTGTTAAGTGGGGGACAGATTAGAACTTAATTTATGAGTTGATACTGAATACTAGACTAATTATTTTGTTGATCCTAATCTTCCTACTTCTCTTGCTTTAGGGCAACAATGCTTCATCTATCAGTGTATTTAACTTCTAAATTGTTGTATTATACTCAGGTGACCGTTAAGGCCCTTGGGCCTCTTGTTTTTTTTAAGTATAATATTGCATAAGGGATATAACCACTTTTTAGTAAATGCAGTTGTTTAAAGAAAGGTATGGTTTTAAATAAATTATTTATACATTATTTATAGGGTTGAAATAAAATTTTTTTGCTTTGTTAGACTACATCACACTGTTATCATTTAGTTTCTTATGTTATAATAGTACTGATTTTCCACACTCCATATGTATTTGTTGTCCTTTGTCAGGGTTTGATGATGGAGGTGAACGAGGAGAGTTCTGATGAGGAAGAAGAAGAAGATGAGGACCATTATGACATGGAGGAAGATATTCCATCGTATGTTTAACAATTAACTGCCATAAAGGAGTGTAATTTGAAAGGCTTTTAAGTCTATGAATAGTATATAATTTCTGTCCTGTTTTTCGTACAGTGTAGTATTAGCACTAAAACAAATTACCGCCCAATAGGAACCACAAATAAATAAATATACATAAATCAATTGATAAATGAAATACTGTAACAGAATATCCCAACTCCTTTTTTTGTTAGTTTTTTTATCATAGTCTTTTAAGAAATGCAGATGGCAAAAAAAAAATGTGTTAACTTTTGTTAAGATAAACAGGAATGGGTTAGCCAAAAATTTTGTATCACGATATATCACAAATTTTTCCAGAAAAAGCAATAATATCATATTTTAAAAAACAATTTTTACTATGATTTTCAATGAATTTCCATAATTTTCCTAGAATATATAGTGTGAAAATATAAGTTCACTTTTTAAAAATTTTTATTAATATATAATTATAAAGCATTTTGGATGCTAGGATGCTGCTGTTTTACTGTTTTACAATATATATATATATATATATATATATATATATATATATATATATATATATATATATATATATATTACAATTCCTGTAATTGTAATTCAAGAGTTTGAACAAAAAATTTTATTGTTTTTTTTGGGGGGGGAATTTTTATTTATGTATAAGTTTAATACTGATATTTCAGTCTTTGTATCACAGTTTGTATCGTGCAATAAAAAATTATGATATGCTGGTATACCAATAAATCACACATCCCTAAAGATAAATGTGGGCAGTAATATAGTATTTGAACAAACATAGAGAAGGAATGAAGAGAGACATTGCTTCTATAAAAAATAATGTAAATTGAATAGATTTGGTACTACTGACACTTCTAATTTATGAATGTTAAAAGAATGGTTTAAGTATTTTTCTGATAAACAGGAGTGAACAGAAGATGAAAGAAGTAGAAGGGATTGATACAGAACAAGTCATGGTGCTAGAAAGGTTACGACAAAACCAGAGGCAGGATTATCTTAAGGTAGGTCACAACTGAGATAATCCAATGAAGGTTACGACAGAACCAGAGGTAGAATTATCTTAAGGTAGGTCATGAGATAATCCAATAGAGGCTATGACAGAATGAGAGGCAGGATTATCTCAACTAGATAGGAAACTTCAGAGACAGAATCCAGTGAAGGTTATGACGGAACCACAGGCAGGATTATCTCAGGTAGGTCACAGAGGCATAATTTATGCCCTGTTCACACGTAGAGTTTAATACGAGTTAAACCCAAGTTACTGCAAATTAAATTTGAACCGCATTCACATGGAGAATTTAATGCAAATTAGTTTAATTCAAATCAATTTACTGCGCATCAAATTACTTCGCGTAAGCCCAGTGTGAGCGCTAAGCAAAGCTAATTTGAATTCAATTCTGACACATGCGTAATGGCAAAATTAATTCACCTACCACATGTCCATGGTCAGATATAGGTACTTATGCTATTTTTGAGTGAAAAACAAAGAAAAATTGTTTATCTCGAAAAATGCACACAGATACTATGACATTATTCCAGTATGTGGAATATGCTGGTATTTTTCATAATGTATTATGACAAACAGTGCATATGCTAAATAGCATAGACTTATCTCTTAAATGTCAAAATAATGTTATATATTGGCATTATGAAGTCAAAGGTCAAGGGACACAAGGTGGGTACCATGAATATACAAAAGCTAAAGTCCAAAGCATTTTATGTGCAAAATATCAAATCCATACCTTTTACAGTTCTCGAGATACAAGGTGTGACAGATGGACAGACAGACAAACATCGGGTAAAGTGATCCCTAAGTGTCACTCTGCTCTGCAGGCGACACAAAAATTCTTACACAAGCACAAAGTATTCAGCATGTAACTAGTTTACACAAATATTACTGAAGAAAACTTAGTAACTGATGTTAATGTATTGTAGGGATCTGTAACTGGTTCAGTCCAGGCCACTGACCGGTTAATGAAGGAACTGAGGGATGTATACAAATCAGAGAGTACTAAAATGGGTGAGTTACCATCAGGCATTGATTATAACTTCCCCTTTTAAAGTCGATGAAGGGAAATTTCTGTACATGAAGTTGTGATCAATGGCTGTTTAGGTCAGTCTGATTAAACATTTCATCTTTTCTGAGGCCAAATAAAAAAATATGTGTGGTTCCGGTTACCCGACCTTCCCTATTTTATACCCCCGACCCTAAACATTTTTTTGGCAATTTTCATATTTTTTTTCGGAATTTCCCCCGATTTCCATCAATGGCTCCAGTTTAAGTTTTAGTTTCAGCAATGACGGCCTCCTTGCAAAACATAGTGCAAGTGTTTAATAGTGTTAAATCCAAAGTATGTAGCATGTAGGTGTCCCCTACCAATATTGACTAGTATATTATCACACCACATCTAAATGCCATTTGCAAAGCAGTGATAGGTCTTATTTAGAAAAAAAATAAGAAAATCATTTTGTTTAAAAAAAAAAAAAAAAAAAAAAAAAAAATCCCTACCTACCTACCCTAATTTTTTAGGAAGTGTAACCGGAACCACACATATTTTTTTGTTTGGCCTGATCTAGTTTTCAGATTTTTTTTTTTTTTTCAATATCACTTCGAATTTTTCTTTATATAAGGGTAATTGATATATTTTGTTTTTGCTTTGAAAATCAACATAAAAAGACTGATTCCCTGTTAAAAGGTGCATCAATTTGATGAACTGACATATACCTATTCAGAACACCCAATTTTTTTAATCTCATGAAAAGTTAAGATACGTTCAAATTAAAATCATGAATATTCATTACGCAGTGTAGTAAAGATTACATATAAGGAGGTGGGGCCTAATTTATATGGGAAATATTACTTGTCAATGCGAGATCATGGTAAAAATTTATGCATTTAGTATACAGTGAGAAGTGGACCATGTTACTTTTTCATAGTGAAAAATGTATAAGTAACAGAATATTGCAGATATTTTATAGACCATTAATTTAAATGAAATTTCTTTCTAAAAAATGAATTCATTTATTTTATCTACATTAAGAGTTAACAACTGGAAAAGTGATACTGCATATTTGTTTAAAGGTACACTCTTCATAAATCAATCTATTGCAAGGGCACACAATCAATGGATCATTATGACCTTTTAAACATGAACTTCTAAGGCTTTATTATTTTGGAAGAGTTCTGTGAACCTGATGGAATGTTGCAAATGAATTAAATATTGAAGAAATGATGCCTGCATCAGACAATTTTGTTTGAGAATATAAATTGGCGTATTAAAAATTTAACGCAATCACTGGATATGGAGTTGTTGGAGTATTCTTGAATTAGCACTACACACTAACATGCTGTATATTGTATTTGTAAATGATTTCTTTGTGATATTCATGAATTAACACATCATTGTCCATGCCAAAGCCGCTAAAATATCAAGCCTGTTTTTAAGCACACATACAGTATACCCTGATAGTCGAGGGATTTTGTTGTAAAACCACTACTTGTTCATTTGTGCTTCACACTTAAGTAAAAATACAAAGTAATCGGAATCCCCAGTAAACTTCTCCCGTCAATTTGCTTCATAATCAAAAGATGTCTCGGTACTTTTCCTCATGACACCAGACAAAAATAAATGAAACCAATGTTAAAATTTATTGATATTTTGTTGGTGACAAATTGTTATTTATTGGAGAATAGTGGCATTGGCATTTCTTTAATCTTTTCAATAACCATAGTAGAATTCTGTTTTTATGGCAGTAGACCAGGAAAAAACTTAACATGTAAACTTAAAAAGATGATTTTAACAATTGGTTATTCTGCAGGTGTACATGTATATGCAAAAACAATGAGATTGCCACATCACTCGACCGATCTAAATATAGAATTACGTTGTCCCAAGTATTGAGTCTGAGATTGCCTCATCACCCGACCAATCTAAATATAGAATTACATTGTCCCAAGTATTGAGTCTTTATCCACACTACCCTTATCCAATATAAGTGAAGTTCTAAAAATTAACACCCATCTTATAAAGAATATATTTTTATCACAAAAATTCCTTTGTGCACAGGGTATGAAATAGAATTGTATCACAAATTAACTGGACTCACCTCAGAAAATAGGCTTCGTCTTGGGGAACTGGAATCTTGCTGACTCCTCAATGATAACTACATAATATGTACATGTATTTGCCCTATTTTATATGTTTCATACAAATAAATCTTTCTTATGGCCCTGAATGTGTTATTGCTATTTTGAGTGATTGTAGTTTGCAAACTTCAAACCTTGATAGTAGTGTTCTTGAAGTCATCCTTAAGAATTGTTCCAAGATGGCCATCAAAGGGCTGTCAATGAGTTCTTTCTTTTCGAATTTACAGGATATGTATGTTATGTACATTAGATTTAATATTTGTATACAAATGAACATTGTAGCCCATAAACCTGTTTCCTCTGTAAAGTGTTAAAATTGGCTATTTACATATGTACCCTTTTTTTAGGTCAATGCAAGTAGTAATGCATATTTTAATTCACTGTAATTTTAATTTTCCTTTCTCTTTGCCAGGTATATTTTCCGTTGATCTAGTCAATGACAGTTTATATGAGTGGAATGTGAAGTTAAAAAAGTAAGAAGTTTCTAATTCTATTATAATAATAAAATAAAACAGGCACATATATATACAGTATAGTTGTAAATTCTACTTAATACTTGCATCTGATTTATCTCTGTAAAGATAACACAAATTGATGTAAAGTACTTTCTGTTTACATAAACTATGCGAATGAGTTAAAGATTTTGTAAATCTGATTCAGAATAATGTACAGTAAACTCATTTAATTGAACATGGTTAATGCAAATTCTTATCTGTACATTTAGTAATAATGTTCGTTGTCATTTGTAATACAATATGCTTATATAATACATTTAATGTACATAATAATGTTTGATGTTCTTTTCAGGGTTGACTCAGATAGTTCCCTCCATCAGGATCTCTTACAGTATAAAAAGGAACATGGCAAAGATCACATTCTCCTCAACTTTACCTTTAAGGTAATCTACATAATCAAAATTTCTCAATAATGGAAAATGGGGTACAACTGATAAATTTGAAATATTAAAAAAAATCTTTGGTGTTTTGTACTTTTTTCCCATTCTGTAGACATACTTTTTCTGCAATTAATTAACCCTATGTAAACAAATTTTCTGCAGAAATTTGTCAAAGCATACTTCAATAAAGACGTGCAGTTGCAATTCAAGAAATCTGCATAATTTTCTTCTCGCAGATTGAACAGAAATTGTAATTCCACGGAATTATGACCCTGTGGAAAAGAGTATGTTTACAATAATTGGATTTGATATTTTCAACATGTATGTTTTCCATTCCCTCAATGAATATTTTAAGATAGGAAAGAAACAAATCACTGAATAAAGATCAAACACAAATCATGGGTTTCTCTAACATATTGTATTTGAAGTTGGAAAACTGATACATTAACTTTATGTAAAAAATAATTGATACATACTGGTAATTATTTGAATGTTTCATTCATTAGTAAGAAAGTTTAGATTTACACATCAAATGGTAAAGTAGTGTGTTATTTTTACAAGCATCACACAACTGATTTGCCTATGAAATATAATTGTTAAAAAAAGATGATGATAGTAGTTTTATTTTTGAATTTCCAGGATAATTTCCCCTTTGAGCCCCCATTTGTGCGGGTTGTAAATCCAGTCTTAAATGGAGGTTATGTCTTACATGGAGGAGCTATCTGTATGGAGTTATTAACTCGACAAGTAAGTTCTTAAATGGAGGTTATGTCTTACATGGAGGAGCTATCCGTATGGAGTTATTAACTCGACAAGTAAGTTCTTAAATGGAGGTTATGTCTTACATGGAGGAGCTATCTGTATGGAGTTATTAACTCGACAAGTAAGTTCTTAAATGGAGGTTATGTCTTACATGGAGGAGCTATCTGTATGGAGTTATTAACTCGACAAGTAAGTTCTTAAATGGAGGTTATGTCTTACATGGAGGAGCTACCTGTATGGAGTTATTAACTCAACAAGTAAGTTCATTGTTTTCCTTGCTGTACTAGTTTTTATTGGAGGATGGGGGAGGGGTAGAAATTGTTTTAAATCCTAAAGCTTACATGGACTAAATTAAAAATTGAAAAATTTAAATTCCAAGAAAAGGAATGATACACAGTATTACTAAAAGCTGATACAAAGTATAAATATGGTAAAACAGGTTCTCTTCAGTGATTCTAACCTAAGGATTATTATTTTAAACCCTTAGATATTTTTTTGTGTCTTGGTTGATATTAGTAATGCAGAAATGGGCCTATATTACAGGGTTGGAGTAGTGCCTATGGTATGGAGTCAGTGATTTTACAGATCAGTGCCACACTGGTCAAGGGCAAGGCCAGGATCCAGTTCAGTGCTTCTAAAGTAGGTCACTTACCTGTATACACCTTATTTTGGTACTAGGTGATTATTAGGAATCAGTTACTTGTCCGTGTGAATCTGTGGTTTTATAAAATCAGATGGTTGCCCTTAGATAGACACTTCACTTTTGATATGAAAGATTAAGTGAATGTTTTTTGTTTATGGTTTTGCTGGACAAAACATAATGGTTTGATCATTTCAGTACTCTTCTGAAAACATTTTATCAAACTGTCTCTATCCTAAACTAGGTAAACTAGGCCCTTTCACTTTGATATCTTACTTTTCAGAATCAGTATAGCTTAGCACGAGCCCAACAGTCTTTCAAATCCCTGGTGCATATACATGAAAAAAATGGTGAGTGAAGACTTTTGTTATCATCTGTCTTGGATAAAGATCTGCTCAGGTGTTACATCAGAGAATAGAAACAAAATCATTTTGATTCTAATCACATAAACATAATAAAGATTTTGTTTTGTCCAAATACAGTGACTCTCAATGGCCCAAACTCAGATTTCTTCAAGTTCTTGATCTCTCAAAGTGAAACCGGTCCATTTTTTTTCCCCTATATACATGTATAACTAAGCAAATTTACTCCCAATCTCTCCAACTTCAGATCTCTCGAAGTTCTCTTTCTCTCGAACCAAGACCTGGGTCCTGTTACACAGTTTTCATTGTTTTTCACTCTTGATCTCTCGAAGTGTTGATTGCACATATATGCCAATCGAGCATGTAATTAATTCAGCTAGGATTTACATGAACAACAGTGAATGCCTGGGACTAGAGTGGAGTTTACATAGGTGACACTACACCCATGAGTCGTCCAAGAGTCGATAATTAAATAATTTGGTTTAATTGTCAATTTTAAAGAAAAGTTCATGACAGATTTTAAAAAGAAGCCAGTGAGATGATGATTTTGAGAATTTCGAAAATTTCTCATGAGTTATGAAACTTTATCGTTTATTCTATTTATACACGATCAGAGTAAGAAAACCATTTCACAATTTTCTAATCTCAATAACTGAATAGAACACTGAGCAATCTGGTCCTAGGAGGGGGGGGGGGCTGTCCTTCTAAGCATAGCAATGAAATAAAAACAAATAAATATTGAAACTGAAAGATTTTTTTTCTCATTTAATCAAGATACGATCTTTGTTGTTGAAATAAAGTGAAATACCAGTAAATAGGGAAGAAAAATGTGGTAGAATATTTTCAACAAATACTTCCATTCAACATAATAACAGAACCATAATGATTGGACCTGAAAATTACAGATTCCTTTCGCCTTTCAAACCCCTCTATCTCAGGAAATGTTTTTAAGGTCCCTTGATCTTCAAGAGGATGAGAGTCACCTGTAGAGAATATTATAGGTGTATTGAACTTATATAAAAGTGTACATGGTGCATGAGCTGGAGATGAGGGCATTCTGTGTCTCTGAAAGTATAACACGATTATAATTATTATGTTAACTGCTGTTTGTATACAACAATTTAGTTAATCCCAAACCTAGTGTTGTACCGATAATCAGAAAACATCGATTGTCGACGAAAAAATGCTACCGATTTTGATGATCGATTATAATTTTTCATAATCGATCATCGGAAACATACTTCTAATACAATACATTCCGGAATTATCCATTTCTGGTTTAAAATTTATTTCTTCTTAATGAAAGAAAATGGCGTCTGCATCTGTTACTAGCCAACTAGCACGAAGAAGAAGTGATTAAGAACCGAAAGATGCATACATAAGGCTGAAAAAAAAATTATGTTTGTTTCCTGTAACCCGACCGACCCATTCAATTTACCCCCGGGTGGATTTTTTTTGCTGCCAAATCTGTGTTTGCTCTTTGCCAGACTTTGGTTTGATCAATCAGTTGAGTCTTTTTACTCAAAAAATATTAATTGTACCTTTTATTTTTTCAGATTTAAAATATGCAACTTAGTCAAGATTTACCTTAAATATAAAAAGTACTCAATCCCCCCCCCCAACTTTTTGAAGTTCGTTTTCGCGCTAGGCAGCCATGTTGGGTGTCCACTATAAATATAACACTTGGATAATTCAGTCCCGGGATGTTTGACCCCTTTATTTATATAACAAGCAAAAAAAAAAAAAATTCCCGACCTACCGACCCTTGATTTCTTTGGGAATGTTACAGGAAACAAAAAACATTATTTATTTAGGCCAAGAAAGTGTAAAAGAAGCAAAACAACAAAGAAAATAATATATATTTTATATATTCATGTTAAAGAAATAATTGTAATAGTCTGCTTTTTGTATACAAAATTGTGAAATCCGATTATAATCGGTAAAATCGCATCGGAAGCAGTAACCGATTCCAACCGATGATCGATTATGAAAATTAACCGATGTCCAATCACTACCCAAACCTGTTTGTAGGTTTGTTTCTAAATGAAAATCTTGAATCAAGCATTATATCAAAAAGCATTTTAATGACTCCAAAGTACCAGTTCATGTAATTGTTTTTTTTAATTAATTTGAAGATTTGTTAGAAACTTTTTCTTTAAGATCTTTATCAATGATATGTCTGTATTTCTTGTCAGATATTATATATTAAAAAATACATTGCACAAGATAAAGGTTTCTGTGGTGTAATCTGTAGCTTGTTGGACACATTGTAGAGTTTGGAATGTTTTGAGGAGTTCTCAATTAAGTAATGCAGACTCTGTTTAATAAATTGCCAAGATTTTAAGATGATTTTTATAACAGACTACTTATTAGAGAATATTAGCTAAATAATAAATAGAGGATATTCAATGTTTTGTGGTTGGATCTGTCTGTCTGTCTGTCCCTCTGTCTGTCAGTCTGTTCCACTTGGTTTTCCGCACTTTTTTCCTAAACGCTTGCAGATATTGAGCTGATTTTTGGTATGTGAGTGTATCTTGATCAGTTACAGATCAAGTTTGCATTTCGTTCCGCTTCATTGATTTTTGATGGAATTACGGCCTTTTCAATTTTTACAGGTTTTCCGCAATTTTCTTCTAAACGCTTGTAAATATTGAGCTGATTTTTGGTATGTGGCTTTACCTTGATTAGTTATAGATCAAGTTTGCATTTCGTCCCGCTTCATTATTTTTTGATGCAATTATGGCATTTTGAATTCTTAACGGGAACGGAACCAGATTACACTTGCCGGTAGGGGACTAGTATTGCTAATGCAATACTCTCAGAATGCTTGTTGTTGTAGCAAATATTGTCATAAAATATTATGAACACTTAATTGAATTTTTTTTTGATTTTAGGTTGGTTTACACCCCCAAAGGAGGATGGCTAACCTAGGACAAATCACCCCATCAACTACACATCTCATCTTTCACCTTTCTCTGTATCATCTCTGTTCATATCGGGGATATTGGGAGATGTTAAATTGAGGTTCTATTAGTGTCAGGCAACACTGTGTTTTAATGTCAGACCAAATGGACTATCATGTTTAATTAGACTGCAGTTTTCTCTATGTGAGGAAACTGCAATGACATGGAATGGCTGCATTGTGGGGGAAAAAAATCAAGAATGACTGCAAGCCCTGTTTTTATTGTCTTCAAGATATGCAAGTTTATTGACATGTTTTGAAATATTATTTCAACAGTTCATACATTGTACACCAGTTGTATGAAAATTTAAGATTTCACCCTACATTATAATTATACAGTGTTAATGTATACCATAGAGAGAGAATGATTTGCTTCTGTATGTTGGTTCTGTATGCAATTAACCAACTATCTGTTAAATAAAGATTAGATAATTATTATTTGTCAGTATCTGATTTTTGCCAAATAAAATTAAATGATCAAATTTAATAGAAAGCTGGAGTTAAGAACAACTCCATTCTAGAATATGGCATATTTTAAATGAAAGGGAGATAACCTTGGAAGTTGTTTCCAGAGCCAAATGAATGCAATTTTTCAGAATCAATTAATTCAGTTTCTTGTCCAGAATGATTCAGAATAAGCTAAATCTGTCAATTTTCCTTGTCTTTGGTTGATCAAATCTAACCCAGGAGATATTTTCCGATTTCCATTGGGGGTGGATGAAGTGTCGACTGACACGCTCCCTCTCCTTCTGTGAGCGGGGGCGGGGAGAGTCACTGGTGTAGAAGAAGGGTTGGGTGTCTACGTTTGAGCTGGCTGACAGCTGTCGTACAGGGACTGGCGGGATATGAACACTACGGCAGTAAGGCAGGCGATGCTGAAATGATGCATTTCTGAAGAAGAAAAACCAGATAAATACTGTGAACTTCCTAAAGACATGGAAACTATCTTATGAACTTGCTGGAGTTGAGCCTAGAGCATTCTATGAAAAAGAATACTTTTTTCATGATTGAAAAACGACTAAACAAGCGACTGATACTGTTATGGGTGGACATGTATCATACTTGGACCAAAAGGTCATTTTACCTTTTGACAATTTCATTCTTCCACTTCTTTTCAAAATCTTTCTGCCACCTTTGTCTTTTGCTGTCTTTTTCCTCGCTCGTCCAGTTTCCTAAGGACGCATGCGCACTACATGTCTCCCTGTTCTGGAGGTTTCTCCGGATAATATGTAGGGGCAGACGGTGGGGGGAAATTGTTTTTCCAATGTCTGGGCGGGGCGCTGAGTGGAGCCAACGCTCACGTAATGCTGACGTTACTATAAATAGAAAACATTTATGCCAATTAAAACAGATAAAATAATGTGTTGTCGACAATGTCCCTATGAGGTTAAACGTATTACCACAACTTTACTTGAAGTAAGACTACACAGAGAAAGTGTGATGTAGACGAAACGCGAGGGTATTAGTTATCATTTTCAGTATTTCACAAAAGATATTTCTTCCCAATTAAAAAACTGAATATTACTTTCAACAAATAGGACCTTTGAATCTGGATCAGACTGGCATGAATGGTGGATAACATCTTTGAATTCATACAACCAGTTCTATCCTATGAACAGCATTTATTGTTAAAGCAATGACCAGGTTCAATGTACTGACGAAAGATTTGAAACAAATTAAGGGTGCCGGAACTAAACGCATGCAAAAAATGTTGTTGCCCGATTTCAACCCCCTTAAGATTTCCACTACCAGTCAACCCCCTTAAGATTTCCACAACCAATCAACCCCCTTAAGATTTCCACTACCAGTGAACCCCCTTAAGATTTCCACTACCAGTCAACCCCGTTAAGATTTCCACAACCAATCAACCCCCTTAAGATTTCCACTACCAGTCAACCCCGTTAAGATTTCCACTACCAGTCAAGCCTTATGCAGGGTCTATCTGTGAACTACATCTCCCAGAATTAAAGGTTCTAAACTTTGTACATTCCCATTTTGTGAATGCATATGACCAAACTCAAATCGGCGTTCCCAGTCATGCACTGGATGACGCATGTAACAGTGTGTTTCTTGAAAAGTTCACATCTGTTGAAGTCTTTACCTAGCATTGACCAAATCTGCAAGGATATTGAATGTATGCAAGGATAATGTGACCATGCAAGATGATATTCTTCCTTATTTGAACTATAAAAATACTCCGCATAAAGATTAATTTTTGACTTGAGACTCTGGAAGGCGGTATATACACTCCAATAATCTCATGCAGTGTCGTCTATCCCTGAACATTCTGATGGAGCGATGTATCAGTAACGATTCTTTAGTGTGAAACATACTGTTCCTAAGTTTGTCATTGGGCCGGTGCTGCTTTGAAAGGAAGTCTTCACTACTATTCAATCTTATCTTCTCCAGGGAATCCTTAAAATAAAAGAAAAATCAAAGTACTAAAATTACTCACAGTATTGTCGGTACTCCGGTGACATATTCCCCCGTCTATACGTCTATACAAATGAAGAAATATCGAGAGGAATTTACCCAGCTAATCTGGGTCCTACAAGTCTCTATGTAATCTGTGTTTTGATTTATCTGTTTTGAGTTGAAAAATCAATAGCGATCTGTCAATCGGAGGTACATTGTATTGATAATTCGTGAAAAATTAATAGAAGAGAACCGCCGTGAGAAAAAGAACCAAACATAAGTTCAACAAAACGCATGCACTTGTGGGGTAAATAATACACATCTAAAGGCTTTTGGCGAGACTTTTAAATAGTGGTAGAAATACACATCTGTTAGAAACCTGTATAGTACTACAATTTCACGGTTTATCCAAGATTAATTAAAATGGATCTTTAAGAAGATAATGTAAATTAGTGTTAAATTTAAATCCCCTGCACCCTGTGACATTAAGACTGCATAAAAACGGATATTTTCAAGCACATTTTGCATGTTACCATTACTTAAGTGAATAAAACCTTGCAGGAATAGAGGGTGGTTATCATTTATGTTTGAATTTTGCTCCTAACTTTCAATTCTAAAACCTGTCGATTTACATCTAGAAAAAATATGAAATAGAAAAACAGATTGTTCTGGTTTGAATATTGTGAAATCTGTAGACACGCTCAAGTGAGCTTTTATGGTCACCCGTTGTCCGGCGTCCGTCTGTCTGTCCGTCCGTCTGTTACTTTTACATTTTCGACTTCTTCTTCTTCTTCTAAAAAAAAAAAAAAAAAAAAAAAAAAAAAAAAAAAAAACACTGTAATTTTCTTGCCGTGAACTACTGGAAATTAAATTGATGAAACTTAAGGAGGTTGGATCCTGTTATCAAAAGTATTGAGAATTTTTTATGAAGTATATTTTTGAAATCTATACATATAGCTTAATTAAAAATCAAAACCAGAAATGGGGGTCAATGCGCTTCTTTTCGCGCTACGGAGCATTTAATATGACCCTTTTGCACTGTAATTACATCTAACACATAAATCAATGTTTCAAAGTTTTTCCTCTAAAATTTTTTATCCAAATAAATTATGGGAACAAACACAGTCTTTTTTCGTCTTGAATAGTCTCTTTAAAATTTGTGGCAACAAAAAAAGTTTCAAATTACTTCACATAGTCAATTATTTGACCTTTTTGCACTAAAAAAAATGCCATTTTTCCGGCAATAAAATTTTAACAAGCAATAAAATCATTTAAAAGTAATGACATTTTTCTGAATTGAAGCAAAATGGTTAAAATTGACTTGTATATTCAGAAAAGAAAATTAGAAGGGGGGGGGGGGGTCTGTGATGTTAATTTTTAGATATAACTTAAATAGTGTTAATTTTTAGCCTAAAGAGGGCTATTTTCCCCCCAGGACTTTCACAATATATTTGCTATATTTGTCTAATATGATGATAGAATTCATGACGGTTAATTTAATATATTATTTAGGACCAGCACAAAATATTTCAGTGTACAAAATAACTCTGTGCAGGCTGCATGTAAAAATAGGATTCCAAACTTAACAATACTGTAAATATTTCGAAAGAGAAAAAATTGAGTATTTAAATTTCCTCTCAAAAACCTTTCGCCACAAAATATAGTTCCTCACTTAATGATTTCAGTATGGAATTTAATCATGGGGTTTAAATTGAATATAGTTTAATTAGCATTGTAGAATCCAAACTGGATGTAAGAACTAAAACATTGAAACAGAATTTTTTAAATAGAGGTCAAGACAAAAATCTGATCAAAAGCTCAGGAACGAACCTCGTTAAGTGAGAACTTCTTGACGTAGAGTAGATTCTAACCTATTCAACTCATGACTCCCCGGGGATGGGTCACAATACCTAGGAGATCAAATTATTGCATGGAACTCTATAAGAATTTTTAGAAAAAAATCTATAGATAAATAATAGAACCATTAATTTGCAAACATTTCTAACTTAGTAATTTATGTGGCTTTAAGTATTTTTCCCCCAAATAAGAGACTACGGGTTCGCATTGGCTAAAATTAGGATTAAATTTTACATAATACATGTTTACAGGAAAAGAACTTTCTTCTCCATATCTGCAAGGCCGTGTTAGTCATTGATATTAAATTGAAACATCCAAATGGCGTGTGAATTCAGAGACCTAAGACTTAGGGCGGGGGGTAATGTGGAGTCACAATTTTTCATGGGAATATAACAATCTTTTAAAATCTTTTGAATATCAGAAGGGCTAAAAGTAAGTCAGATGAGCGTTGTGGCCCATGGGCCTCTTGCTGTTTTTTTTTAAAACAACGTACATTTCCCTTTCTCTACAACAATAAAACAGGAGGCCCATGGGCCACAACGCTTACCTGAGTTATTTTGGTCCTGTTGTTCTTTACAAGAATTTTGTAATACCTATTGTGGCCCCACTCTACCCCCGAAGGTCATGATTTGAACAATTTAGAGTCTACTTTACCTCAGAAAGCTTCCACATAAGTTTCAGTTTTTCTGGCCCAGTGGTTCTCGAGGAGAAGATTTTTGCTATATATTTAATGTAAAACTTGAATTCCCTATTGTAGCCCACCCTACCCCGGGGGTCATGATTTGAACAATTTAGAATGTACACTACCCCAGGATGCTTCCACATAAGTTTCAGCTTTTCTGGACCAGTAGTTCTTGAGGAGAAGATTTTTAAAGATTTTTGCTTTATATTTCAATGTAAAATTTGGATTCCCTACTGTGGCCCCACCCTACCCCCGGGGACATAATTTGAATAATTTAGAATCTGTAGATGCTTCCACATAAGTTTCAGCTTTTCTGAACCAGTGGTTCTTGAGAAGATTTTTAAAGATTTTTCCTATATGTTTCAATTTAAAACTTGGATTCCTTATTATGACCTCACCCTACCCCTGGGGGTCATAATATGAATAATTTAGAAGCTATACTACCCCAGGATGCTTCCACATAAGTTTCAGCTTTTCTGGCCCGGTGGTTCTTGAGAAGAAGATTTTTTAATCACCCTACCCGATCTTTGTCTTTTTTTTTTGATTATCTTGATTATTTCCCCTTGTAGAGGGGCTTAGTCCTTCATTTTAACAATTTAAACTCCCCTTTACCCAAGAATGCTTTGTACCAACTTTGGTTTTAGTTGGCCCAGAGGTTCTTGAGAAGAAGTTGAAAATGTGAAAAGTTTACGGACGGACGGACAGACGGACAACAGGTGATTAGAAAAGCTCCCTGGATATTTCAGCTCAGGTGAGCTATAAAATAAAATCTTGGAGCTGCTCCCGTAACTCAAAATACTAAGTTACATGAGTACTTGGTGTAGCTTAAAGTCATATATTGCGTATTTTTATTATAAATTCAGACTAACTAAAATTAAAAAGATCTTTCTATTTATTGTATTACTTTATATAAAGATAGGGCTTTCCTGTAAATTACACAATTTAAATCAATCATGCACGTTTCAAAGATATTAGAAATTTAAAACAATAACCGTATGTTAAACATGTGGTTAATCAAGTTCAAAGTCGGTGAAAATTTTAATTTGAACGTAAATAACATACATATAATGCTTATCTACACTTAATCTCATATTTTTATTTTTTAGCTCAGATAGGCCATATATATAACTTTAATTAGTTTCCTTTTTTTATATTGAAAAGTGAAATAACCCTTAATAAGTTACGATATATTTTTGTTCACTAGTGCTGACGTGTTTTTTTTTTTAAATTAAGCCTAGGATATATGAAACTTAGTCGTTTCTAAAGGTCAGTAGGTTCTTACCGTAAACGTCCATTTCGATGCTCAATGCAACCAAAAAGTAAAATGGTTCCAACGCAATAGAGAGAGAGAGGAAGAGAGAGAGAGAGAGATAGTGATATACCTTGAATGAAAATTTGTCCATATGTTTTACGAAAAACAGATCGATCGGAGAATCAATTGTCTGGCTTTTTTCTTTTATTCACTTTTAAATCACATCAAATTTTCTTTATGTTCATTTAGTGATGAAGCATTCTTTTCTGTCAGAATCAAGCATTACCTTAAAGAAAACATTATTTTACTTTGCTGTTTGTTATACATCGGAATTTGTCTTACCTCCACACTCATTGTTTTGTCTCAATTTACCACATTAACACTAGCATCGAAAACAGTTTCACCTCCATATTGTTCAAATCAGTAAATATTATTTCTTCATAAATTCAATTTCCAGCCATTGTAAATTGCCTTGAATTCATTTCCTTTTTCATTAGCCGGATTTTTAATTACATTTTGAGAGCGTCGATCTTAAAAGTTCTAAAGTTTAAAACTACAAAGAGAATAACAATGCGTAATTGCACGCATGGACTGGATCAGTTTTAAATGTCTATTTAATGGATAGGAGGTCTTGGACAATGCAGACCTGCTGCCTTTTATCCTCAGAAAACAATCCTATTGGATTGGGCTTTATTTTATGCAGTGTCGGACACCTATTTGCATTATCTAGTGGGTGATTTAATCAAAGCTGATTAGATTTAAAGATTAGGATAATAATATCTCATTGCTAGACACCTTTGTCTGTATTATTAATATTAAATATTTTCTTTACACAGTTACCAATTGTGATAAAGACCCCCCCCCCCCCCAAAAAAAAAAAAAGAATGAAAAAAAATGATGTCTAACTCCAGTGTATATCATCTAAATCTTAGGACCTCCTACAACACAAAGCGAGAATGTAGCTTCACACACATGTACTTTGGAGATCTCCCAGTTATCTGTTAGAGTTACTTATTATAAGTGATCCTCTAACTAGAAATGGATGCAAATGATCTGTATACAAGAATATGAATGTTTGGAGTAGGTAGAAATATACTAGCAAAACCTTCAAAATAATTGTTGTTTAATAAAGCACCAATAGATCTAATTCATCTTGAACTTAAAAAGAGTTTCAAACTATTAATATGCCGTTTGTCATGTTTTAATTTTTAGTACATTGTATTCCCTCATTCTAACTCTTCTGTAACAGGGAGAATAGTCCAAGTGGCAGAAAGGAATTACAGTGAAAACATTCGAAGTCAGAGTACTCTTGTATAAACTCTTTTAGGTACATGTACATGAATAGTTTTAAGAATAATAGTTCTAATACTGTTAGTATTAAGAGAATGAAGAATGTTTCAACAAAATTTAAATAAATTCCTGACATATTTGTTCATGTTAAAATAAATACATTGTTTGCCTTTTGAAGACAACACTTTTCAATGCAGTTTGTGTCACTGGAGTTATTCCCCTTGGTCATTTCTAGGATTAAAAAAACATTTTCAAAGCGTGACACAGTACAAAATGGCATACAATTGTAATGTCTTTACTTTATAATGAGGTATTTGATTGGATAAAAAATTTACTTTATATCGTAGAAATTGGGTTGCCCTGCCTAAAAAACGTATCCATCCGCCTGATGTTACTTTTAAATTTTGTACAATTTGCAGATTTTTTTAAGGGCAATCATCTTATTCCTTACACTAAATGAATGAAAATTAAACTACAAGGAATGAATTTAATAGCTACCCAATTTATATGGTATAAAGTGGGTTGGAACAGTTTATGCTTTTTAATAAACGGCTTCGCGGTTTATAAAGCGTAAAGCCCCAACCCACTTTATACTGTATAAATTGGGCAGCTATTAAACTCATTCCTTAAATATATCATTTCAAAAGAAAATAAATTGGTATAACAAGATTTTATTTTGTCAACAGACAAAGATAACCATGGTAACAGTTCACAACCTTAATCACAGTTATTTTTTTTTAATCTAATTAAAATCTACAAGACAGTGTTTTACTTGAAATACAAAATCCACAAGAAATGAATTATTTTCCTTTTACAGTAAAAATAATACGCTCAAAAGACTAAAACATTTTCTGGAAACAATTTGAATTTCTGACAAAACAATCATTAAAACAGCCTCTAAAGTATCTTTCAGTTCAATATGAATTAAAAAAAAAAAGTTTGCACTTATTTCATTAGATGGTACTTAATGCTTGAAGCTACATGATAAATATGGATATGTGACATGCAAAAGCATGGTTATAAATGTTAAACAAAAGTGGAACAGCTGATATGTTTACAATTTAAAAAATCAGATCTTTTACATATTATAGTACTGTTACTTGTTGCATAGCACTAGTTAAGAATTTGTCTTTATAAGGAGACACATAATATTCGTAGGAAGAAGGTTTTCCCAATCATTTAAAAAATTCTAAGCTTAAAATACATAACCCTGAAGGACAATGGCTTTACACTTTTAAGGTGTAAATAAAACTTCACAACCACTTTAAGAAAAGTTAAAAAAAAAAAAAAAAAAAGAATTTCAGATCTTGTTCCATAAATAGTTGCAAATTAAGGTTCTGAGATTTCCAAACTAAGAACACTTGGATATTATAAACTTTTTTGCATCTGTTGCATATGTGGATGGTTAAAAAAATATACACATCATAAAATGATAAATACTTTGTAGAAACATTCTAACATATAAATGTACTTTACAAAGACCAGGGGCTAAATTATTCAAACCACCCTCTGACATTATCAAGTTCATAAATGACACTTTACACAATATCTCAAAACATGATTCAAATATCACAATTTTCTCACACCACATAACACCACATACCGGTTACCCTAATTGATCATCTCAATGCCTGTCAGAATACTCACACATTTCATTATAAAAACACCATAAACTTATAAAATATACATGAATAATCACATAAAGATATATTTCAAAGCATAATAAACTGATGTTAAACAAGAGGCCTGTGAGCCACATCACTCACCCGAGCACTTTGGCTAGGAAAAAGCAGAAATCAGTTTAGTATTAAAACGTTTAACTATATAAGTGGTGGTGGGGAGGGGGGGGGGGATTTGAACAAACTTGAATCTACACTACCTAAAGATACTTCCATATTTCTTTGACTAATCATGGCTTAAGTGGATTTTTCAAGAATTTTTTCTTTACAATTGACCTTCTATTGTGGCCTTGCCCTACCCCCGGAGATATGAGTTGAACACACTTGAATCTATACTACCTAAAGATGTTTCTGAATTAATATGACTAATTATGGTCTTGCTGTTATTGTTAAGAAAATATTTATTGATAAATTCTTTATACATATTCCTTTGTATGACTTTGATCCCTTGTTGTGGCCTGGGGGTCATGATTTGAACAAATTTGAACCTACAATACCTGAGGATGCTTCTATATTAATATGAATAATCATAGCTTTGCTGTTCTTGAGAAAAAGATTTTTAAAGATTTTTCATATGTATTCCTATGTAAACTTTTGATCCCGTATTGTGGCCCATCCCTACCCCTGTGGATTATCATTTGACCAAACTTGAATCTACACTACCTGAGGATGCTTCCATATCAATGTGACTCAACATGGCTTTGCTGTTCTTGAGCAGATTTTTAAAGATTTTTCCTATGTATTCCTATGTTAAACTTTGATCACCCATTGTAGCCCCACCCTATCCCCTGAACAAACTTGATTCTACACTACCTGAGGATGCTTCCATAGAAATATGACCAATCATGGCTTAGCTGTTCTTGAGAAGAAGATTTTTCTATGTATTCCTATGTAAAACTTTGATCCCCCATTGTGGCCCCACCCTACCTTGGGGGTCATCTTCTGAAAAACGAGAATCTTCACTACACTAACTGAGGATGATTCCACGTAAGTTTCACATTTTCTAACCCAATGGTTCTTGAGAAGAAGATTTTTGAAAGATGCCATTTATTTTTCACTTACTCATAATTATCTCTGCTAGGAAAAAGGCGTGGCCCTTCATTTGAACAAATATGAATTCCCTTTACTTAAGGATACCGTGTGGGGGTATTCCCGTGTGGCATGTTTGGTTCAAACTGGCCTGGTGGTTCTTGAGAAGATGTCAAAAATGTGAAAAGTTTACAGATAGATGGACGCTGGACAAAATTTTGTTTGTGATCAGAAAAGCCACTTGAGCCTTCGGCTCAGGTGAGCTAAAAATTGACTCAGTGATGCATTGCAAATTTTACTACTAATTTTGATCCAAAGTCTTTTGGATCTACATCACATGTAAGTAGTTTTACTCTATCTGTAAACAAGATTCTTGGTGATTGTAAGTTTCTACACTTTTTTTTTGAATATTTGCAGTTTCTGGTTTTTCACATTACTCATTTATATAGATCAGATGTTGTCAGCCTATCTTGTTGAGGTAGCGCTCAGCCTCTAGAGCCTCGGGACAATTCTCGATGACTTTGGGGAGTAAACGATCAATATAAGACTTCATATCTTTGTTCTCCTGACGAAGTGCTAAAGTAGAAAGAAAAGGATGGAGTTATCAAATGTCTAGCAATGATTTTCAGAATTTCAGTAGTAGTTCTTTATACTGAGTAAATATACCGTTAACCAACTTTTATTTGTGTGCAAGAAATATCTGCAACCTTCTTTTACTTGCAATTATTTTTCTCTGTGAACAAATTATTTACTAGTGTAAAAAATGCTTCCTTGGTTGTGAAAATTAGTAGTCGCAGATGTATTTCAAACCAGTAAATCATGAATAAAAGACTTCAAATTTAATATATGGTTTACAGTACAGTGATTACAATACTCAGTAAATTAGCACTTTTCTGATGAGACTGTAGCTCTACTGTTTAAGGGTGTACAATTCGAGCTTGTGACATTTTTTCTTTGTTTAACTTCAATAGATTTGCCCAAAAAACAAGATGTGTTTGTGAAACACTATGCCCCCGATGGTAACACAATTCTGGAGTGGGACGTAGACTACAGTGCAATAGTTATTGCCAATGTTAAAGTTTTTCAAATGTAGGTCAAAGGTCACAGTTGAGGTCACATGATCAAAATTTCTGTACCAATAGAAAGGTCTTGTCATAATGAACACTCATGTCAAATATTAAAGCCTTACCCTTGACAGCACAATAGTTATGGGCTAGGTTAAAGTTGACAACAGACAGACAGACAAACAGACAGACAAGCAGACAAACAGACAGACAGACAGACAGGACAAAAACAATATACCCCCAGGATCTTTCGATCTGGGGGCATAAAAACATGCCTCCATTAAATCAGCCATTCCTTTTAATTTTTGAAAACAGCCAACAATGTTCATTTATTAGTAAAGAAAAGATACCAAGAGGGATATATCACCACAGAATCTTCTTAAGTACCGGAAGACCACTGTGGTCTAAGAATTCAGCACAGATTTAAAACAACACACATGACTTTTGATTAGCCCTTACCAATATTTTCTAGTCTGAGTTTCTCTATCTGATATAGCAGATGTTCCTTTGAAGGCCCCTGCTCTGGACTTGGTTCTCCATTTTTGTTTTTAGACGAAGTTAAGATAAAACCTTCACTGGCTCTTCGTTTGTGCTTCTTGAAATTATTTTTGTTTCCCTCCAGCTCCCCATTCACTTTTTCTGTACCCTCTGCTTGTGGTAATATTACCTGTGGACAGAATTAAGTCTGTTATTCAATATTACCTATGTGGACAGAATTATGTCTGATATTAAATATTACCTGAATGGATAAAATAATGTCTGATGTTGAATATTACCTGTATGGATAGAATTATGTCTGATTTTCAATATTACTTGTACGGATAGAACTAATTGTCTGATATTCAAATTAACCTGTATGGATAAAATTATGTCTGTTATTTAATATTATCTGTGTGGATAGCATTATGTTTTTGTTATATTTTAACTTTAACACACTTGTAACATACAATTCTAAGAAAGTAGACGAAACAAAAACCTAGCTGTAAAGTAGTGTGTATATATATATATATATATATATATATATATATATATATATATATAATAAAAACTTTTGGATATACAGTAGATATTGAAACCAGCATGTGCATTAAATCATTCATTTTCTTGTACATTATGACATTTGTTTCATTTTAAAATAGCTTCCTGTTCTATTCTGTGTTTAAAAAGAACTGGTGCATGTACATGTGTGACTCAAATCCTACAAATCAAACACATCCTTATAAATAAGCATTCAATCAACCATTTAACTTAATACTACTTATACAGGCTATTTTAGTTTTTTGACGATATGGAGACTACAGAGAATAAGGTACAACCTTGAGCATTTTAGAGTAAAACTCTGATAATATGCTACGACTAGGTTGTACAGCATGAATGTTAAGATTCAGATTCCTCTAGTTTGTTTAATATATTGAAATATCACCTGTACAGATTTTTGTGTGTTTGAACATCTGAATTTTTGGGGGGTATATTCACTTAGACCTCACCTGTACAGATTTATGTGTGTTTGAACATCTGAATTATTTGGGGGGGGGGGGGGGTATCTATATTCACTGAGACCTCACCTGTACAGTTTTTTTTGGTGTCTGCGGAGATGAGGAGGCACTGAAGGTTCCGATTGTAAAACTTGCTGACCTCCTGCCATCAACTTCTTCCTCCTCCTCAAACACTGGTTCCTCCCCTGAGGGCAACTCCTCCACATATTCATAGGCTTGTCTAAGGCACCCAATGCCACCAGACTCTGTCTCAATCTCAACATCTCCCAGTCCTGCTAGAGATGGCTTGGTGGTACAATGAATCCTATTGGATGATTCCCATATCACAGAATCTACACACTCACATTCACATATGTTCAGATCTAATATGTCAGCTTTGCTAAGACCAAGGTATTTTCCCTCTATTGTCACTTTGGTGCCTCCCTCAATCAAACCAAATGATGGTGTCACTGAGGTGATTATAGGGCACCTGCCAGCAGACTCCATTCCTGTCCCTATACTCATGTGAGTAAGTGCTCTTGGTTTTAAGGGTTTCTCGTTTTCTTCATCTTGATGGGATTTTCCAAAACTAAAAATATCCTGAATTGACCGTGAGAATTTTTTATTTAGTGTAGATAACTTTGATCCACCACTTTGCTTGCTGTCTTTTTTGTTCTTTAGGTTAATGACGGGTGAATTGGCAAGGCTGAATCTTTTTTTGAAGGAAAGAGTGGCCGAGTTTGACTGGAACCTGTTAGGACTTCCTGTTTTGATGACAGGAGCGTGGGCCTCCCTATACTGGGAAACATAGCACCGATATGTCAGCTCCCCCTTGGGGTTGGGGCACTTTTTGTGGGGTTGAAGGGACACTAAGGTTGTGTGTCCAGGTGGTCCCTGAAGACTAGTGATTGGCACATGAACCTGACCCAGAATATCATCTTTCTCAGTCACAATAAAGAAAATCTGATCCAAAGGATTTGAAACTTGTCTGAAACAGAAAATCCTTTGTTTATAGCAAAGTACACTCTACATCATTAAGATGAGGTAATTTTTTTAAACTGGAAGTAAAGTTTCAAAATATTAGAAATGCATTTCAAATAATTTTAATTTACATAGGCAATGATTTTTTTTTCTAAAAATGCAGAATAGAAACATGAATTTGAAATGGTAATTTTTTTCATATTATTTATAATTCTTTTTTTTTCATTTTTAATTATGAATCAGAGGTGCTTTACATACATTGTGGATTCCTCACTCCACTCTGGATTTCCATCCGGATCTTTGACTACCGCTGTTCTGTACTTTTTTGATCCCACTCCAAAAATAACTGAGAATTTACATTTTCCTGAAAAGTTCAGTAATTGCTGAAACATTCTACTAAATAAAGGCAAAATTAACAAATGCAGCTCAAAATTCCAAATATTTATCATTCATCTCCTTTTACATTCTTGAAAAATACTGACAGATTTGAAGAAAATTTCATTCATATACAGTACACCTGTATTTGTAATAAATTCTTGAAAGAGGGAAGAAAGAAATTCTGCTGATTTTAGTATATAAATGTCTCCATGCTTACCTGGCCTTCTGCTCTGTAAACCTTTAGCATTAAGTACTGTAATAAAAACAGAAAAACTGTGTATATGGCTAGTCCTCATTGCACTCGGAACAAACCAACGGTTAATGTTCACAAAAACAGGACCTGGTATAGACCATCGCCTTTATAAGACTGATGTGTGAGGTCTCGGGGACATTCTGGTCATGACAATGTTTGGAAAGGTTACAAAAATTAGCTTCATTAGAGAAACCTGCTGAACTGGCTAGTTTTAATTGTTAGATTAATTTCCTGTTAATCTGTTATAGTATTTGTAGGTTAAACATCCTGAAGAAATCGTAAACCATGTCCAATAAGAAGGGAGTGGTCAATCAATTATTCACTTTCTGTTGTACTAAAGACATTTACGATTAATTAACTCATTAATGTCATTAATAATTATAATTCTGTCAATTGTATTTACTGAAATTCCACTGTTGTTTTCAGAGTGACCACAGCTATATAATAAAGCTTGATTATGACAATTCCAATAAAATCTGTTAACGTTCTAAAAAATTCAGATTTATTTGGTATTGGTGTTTTCTTATTGTTTTTCTTTCTTAAGCTAGCTCACTGACACAAGCAGATCAATGGCCAAAACACCTTCATAAATCACCCTTCTTATTATGTATATTTACTACCTCTGTAGTATCAGAATCTGTAGTTCTGTAGTTATATATTGTAATTTGTAGGAATTAGCTTTTTGGGGGGTAGTGGAACTTGCAATACATTTGTATACTATATATCTAATCTGCATCTTTGTTTGAAACCCTGTTATGAACATAATTTCGTGGATCATTTATACATATTTTCACAATGGCTGAAAGAGATTAAAAGGACACCTAACTCTTGATTATCTCCTCTTGGTAAAGACATTAAGTTTTCCAATTGAAAGAAAATAATAATTCACTTTGCTTCATACTGGAATTTCATTGCAATTTTTCCAGTAATTTTGCGAAGTTAAGTTGAAAATGTGAAAAGTTAACAAACGGAAAACACAAATACTCAGGTGAGGTCATGAGCATGTGATCATTTATCATTTTCTGTTTTCCTGGCAATTGCTAATCTGGCTTTCTTTAGGCAAAATTGTGTTTCAATGTGATATAACTAGTTTTAAAATTTTCAACAGGCAGATAAAAATTTATCACTGTGAAGCACACATATCTGTATATGTCCCCAGGCTCTGGATGGTAAATAAAACCAAGGTTTGACACATAACAAGTTGTAGTAAGTGTATATATTTCATGTTCTAAATATTGATTCATAAAATAATGTCTGTCAGAGTGCACAGTTTCCCATAGTATCCCATCCAACACGATAAATCACTGGACTTAAATACAAACAAAACATGGAGAAATACACCATTTCTTTAATTATTGGTTGTTTTTCAACTTTTGAAAAATTATTTCAAAAACACAGTGATTTTCAACTTACAATTTGCAACTTATTTATAGAAGAAAGTTTTACCAGTAATTCAAACTGATTAGTTTTATCTTGAACAAGGTATAGCAATTATATAATGCCTATGTTGAGGAAAATGCATTAATTAAGTTAAAGTAGTGAAAAGAAATCATAAATGTAAACACAAATTTTTAACATAATTTTCATTTGTAATTTATTTTGGGCAAAAATGACTCATTATCTTTTACAATGTTTGCAATATTAAATACAGGTAATGTCAGGTGAGGCTGATTTCTTGATACCTGTACTGTAATACCTACCTATGACTGTGATCTCCGCTGCTTCATTCATCCTCACTAGATACACAGGTATCAAGTAGTCGTACTAATCCTCAGTCAATCATAGTTATCCTACTGCATCCTCCTTCTGTACACCTGAAATGTACAGTTAAATAACTGTCCATCAACAAATATTCAGTACTTCTCTTAGCTAATCACTGAAGTTACTTTTATCCAGAATTTGCACTTGTTTTCTCAATTCACATAAGTCTTCCTGGACAGTTATTGACAGAAAATACTTGAATATAATAATGTAGGTATTTATCAAAAGACACCACCGAACTTGATTATTTTAACTTCCTGTAAGAGGATATTAACATATATAGTACATGCTCAGGTGTTTATATTGTACATCTTATACTTCCCCCAAAAATCCCCTATAATGCTGAATTAACAGTCCATAGAAGATAAGATCAAATGACAGGTCACAAAATGTAAATACTGGCTAAGTAAAAGATATACACACACTAAAATGTAAACATTTTACTGAACCTTAAACACAGATATCAGTCTGTAAGAAGTCTAGATCACTTTCACAGCCAGCACTACCAAACAGTTTATAACTACAGACAAATGTCAGTATTGATGGCACAGATTATGATAAAAAAACATGATGACTTGACAGCTTGGGCAAGCCTGTATCAGTGTCCACACTTCTTGGTTTTTGGCTTTCATGGTGTCTGGATTACAGAACTGACAAATTGCCCTATATGTACGCCCCCTAGTCATTTTTGTACCAAAAACTTAATTACCAATAGGTAAAGTATGTCCTATCGTAGATTATATAGACAACATTACGTAGTCCTGGATTCAAGCTTGTCCTTCACTCCTCCAATTAATTTTGTCCAGATATACCCACAATTCACATCTTAGTTTACCTGTGTTTACTTTCGTGTAGTTTTCACATGTGTAACACTTACCTGGAGAAAGATGTGTAACACTTGCAGGTAAAAGAGTAACCCAACCGTGGTAAGGTTAAAATGCTTGTATTTGCTTTATGAATTATTCACAAAGGGCGCAACAGTCTTTGTCTTAAAAGCTTCTAATAGTAATAAACCCATTTACAGACATTACTAAATTATTCAAAAGACAAAAGGACATTTTTATAACAATTTTTGTAACAAACATTGTAAAATCTACATTCATATATCAATAATTATCATAAAATCATGATGCATTTAAATTTTACATTAATTTTAATTTAAACATAAATGTTTATAATAAAAGGGTTAAATCCAGTTAATCATATGATATTGTTACCATTTAATTATTCAAATGGCACAAACACATATTACAAACAGAAATATGATCATAGGACTTGAATGCCCCACCCAGGGTCCATTAGTAATACAAAATAAAAAAATATATACCTTGCCTCTTTGTTTAAGATTAGGGTAAATGAAGAATATTGAGGTCAAGGTCACAGAGAAGGTTAAGGTCAGAAATTTATGAAACAGTTGAATAGCTCTCACCATTGAATTTATATTGGTGTATGAAGTTTGAAGGAAATATCTTCATTAGTTTCACCAATATGTATCAGTATGTGTTTCGATAAAAATATCTTGAATAAAACAAAATTTTCTTTGAAACTAAGTGAAAAGCATAATTAAATAATAAGGTCAAGGTCATAGGGAAGGTCAGGGTAAAAAAAAAATATTGATGCAGTTGAATAGCTTTCACCAATAAGTATCAGTATAAATATCTTGAATAGTTTCTTTGAAACTGAGATGAACATAAATTAAAGAAAAAGGAGGTCACAAGGTCAAAGGGAAGGTCAGTGTAAAAAAAAAATGATGCAGTTGAATAGATCTCACCAGTGCATATCAGCATATGAAGTTTGATAAAAATATCTTGAATAGTTTCTTTGAATCTGTGCTTAATGTGTTGGATGGGTAGATGGAAGTACAGAAGATGCACATGACACACACTTAATAATATTAATATATGCCCTGGCCATATTAATGGCAGGACATAAAAATGCTATTTAAACAAGTCTCTGCAACAGTTAAGATCGGAATTATGTCCCCCTCCAGAAATGCCTCTGATCATAGTGGTACACATAACCACCAGGTAGTCTGACTTGTGGGAGGGTGTAACTTAAGACAATACATGGAAAAAATAAATGACATTTTGACAAACCTCTCTATCTACAATCTGCAATAAATGACACAACAAGATTCTATTTCCAACTTCCAAGATGTAAACTTATCCAATATGGACACCGAACATGACCCCGAAAGTTACCATTTACATATCAACCACTGTTACTACGGGACACTGATGCTATGGGACACTGACACTTCTCTTCTCATCACTGATGTATCTCTGTACTTACGCTGAATTTTTACGTTGAGGAAAACATGCACGCAGAAACTTTTTCAGAAATATTGCCTTATACACATACATCATACATACATGCATTTACCTTTAAAATTTATGCTAATTAATCACTTAAAACATGATAGTTTAAGCCACAAACATTTTCCTTAATGAATTTAATGTTGAATAGTTCTGTTAAATTTCATCATGCTTATACTGCTTCAATTACCGGTAACAGTTTTTGTTGTCAATTCTCCACATTCTATCTTGTACATGGTGTAGCATCTTTGAAGTATGTATTACTGCATATTTTTTTTACTTTTATACTATATATATATATATATATATATAGAGAGAGAGAGAGAGAGAGAGAGAGAGAGAGAGAGAGAGAGAGGATATTCAATGTTTTGTAAATGAATATGGAATTTATGAGTGGAACAGGATTTTTTTATATTTTCACGAGTGCGAAGCACAAGTGAAAATATCAAAAAATCCTGTCTCACGAGTGAAATAAATTCCATATTCATCTACAAAACATTGAATTTTCTGTTTATTACATTTTCTTTGATTTTCCCTTTGCCTCTGTCTTTTCTTAACACAGTGTCATAGCTAGGCTTGACGTCATAGTTGAGCGGTTGAGACGTCATAGCTTAGCAGTTGTGAGATTGAAAACATTACATAGCATGGATTTTAGCAACATATTTGGGGGAAAAAATTGCATTTTTACAGCTCTATCAAGATGCCTAGTTACTATCTCTATCTTATGATAGGCCAGAAATTATTTTTTACTTACTAAAATTGATATCCTTTCACACTGTGAGAGAATATCATTTTGGTATTCTAGCTTTCACACCGTGAGAGAATATCGCTTTTATTCAATAAATAAATCACAGTATTTCACTGTTGAAAATGTAATATATATATATATATATATATATATATATATATATATATATATATATATATATATATATATATATATATATATATATATATATAAAGCACTAAAAATGACCAACGACACGAACAATAATAATTGTCGTTGGTCATTTTTAGTGCTTTATATAAATTTCCATCCGTGACCTTGTATCTACTTAGTAGATCCGACACTTAGGATATGCAGTGTTGTTGGTTTTTAGTGCTTTATATATATATATATATATATATATATATATATATATATATATATCTGAAATTTTCTACACAATTAATGGATTGTACAACTCTATTAGATACAAAAATCGAGACAAGCTCTTAATTTTAGAGTAACACTGATGAAAAAATTAATTTAATGCAAAAATCTGCTAAGACTTGGGACTATAAATTCCTTAATAGTTTTATCTCTATCGATCCTTAACCTATCATTCTTTTATAACATATCAATACCAACATAAACAGTGTTCTCTCACAATACTGATAAGGCACAGGATGATGTTGTACAAATAACCAATGTATTGAGTGAATTATGACAGTATCATGTGTCCTGTTTAATTATAATACACACAGATGCTTGTTTTGACCAATATGTGTGATGTTCAACCAACATGTACATAGACATCTGTCAATATAAGCCAGGAAATATATTACATACATCCCTGATACATAAAATTTCAAAACAGCATATACCTAATCTTAACTTGTTTAAAACTTTTTCTCATGCTTTGGATCTTTTCATTTTAATAAATTTCTGCTAGAAATTCAGAAAAAATGTGACAATTTTCATTTGGAAGTACATTCTTTTATCAGTGAAATTAACTTGATTGCAGCCAGACAGCTGTGCATGCTCCCAGTAAACTTTCTTTGAGGTTACTAATACATTTTTTAACTAAATGTTTACATTTTTTTGTTTATTTAATCAAACCAGTATATCCAATTGAAAATAGTTCATACACATGTGTAGATTACTTATAAATATCCAGAGGCTGCTTTACCAAAGATTTACACTAGGGATGCAAGATTTTATCAGTATACACAAGTATATCGTGATACTGAGACTAAAATACCTGTATTTAGGCCATCTTTACAATAATGTTTGTTTGCCCTCTCCCAACTCAGGATAAAAAAATTTGGGTAGGTAGGTAGGTGGGGAAAATTTTTTTCCTAGAAATTTTCAGCATCAATGCTGAATTTTCAAAAACTATTAAAATTCAAAGTATTTATAAAATTAAAATAGTTGTAACAGGATGAGAAAATTCCACAAAGAATAAAAAAAAAACATTTCCTGGAGGTTTAAAAAGTTTCGAGTAGGCGTTTTAGCCAATCGGTTGGGAGAGGGCAAACAAACATTTTTTAACAGATGGCCTTAGTATGCAATTATAAATTACGGACATCAAAAATTTTTTTGTTCAAACTTTTCAATTACAATTACTGGCTTTTAAAAATGTTGAAAAACAGTAAAACCATGGCATCCCACAGAAAGCATCCAAACATGCTTTATTAATAATAAATAAAAATGAAAAAGGTGAAGTTATGTTTTCACAATATAATTGTTAGAAAAATCATGGAAATTCATTTTAAATCATAGTAAAAATTTTATGCAAAAATATCATGGTAATATCATGATATTTTTGGAAAATTTGTGATATATTGCGATACAAAATTTTAGGCGATACCCATCCCCCTTTTATACAGATCTGTAAATGTATGTATGTGCATTAATCACATCTCAAATGATTCAGTACTGTCATGTAGTACCAGCAGTCATGCCATTAGTGGATTAATCAAGCAGCACACAGACACAACATGTACAACTATCTACATCTACGGTTATTGATCTTTTCCTGACTTGATCATTCAATTACATTATGCATACATGTAACTCATCTCTACTCATCAACACAATCTCACTATACAGCTGTTCCAGTACAATCAATGTCAAGGTCACTGGTGAAAAGCTTTGTTCATGACAGGAGATTGTACCAGTTACATCTACAATTTGACAGGACTACATAATTTCTTATTTAAACTTTTAGGGAATATTTTCTAAGGCTATATAAAATAGCTCTATCTACTGCATTCACTTAAAACCTATGGTTAATTAATTTATAACACATAACACCCTTATATTATTTTGATCCAATCCAACATTCATTAATATGTTTTACAGCGTGACCGTTGGGGTTTCATTCCAAATTTCCTCTGTTCTTACATGTTAGTCTATTGAGCTCACTTCGTGAGCAGCGCTTCGTGATGCTCGCTGCGCTCGCTATAATAACATAAGGGGAGGGGACATTAAACTAAACTTGGCTGGTAGACTGGTTATTTCAATTTTTATCAAATTTTTCAATTTTGTCTGCAGTGTTTATGTGTATGTGTTAAACTGTTTTAAACTATCATGGGAACTCATGATCAATACAATTGATATATTGCAGCCATAACCTTACATCTGTCTTTTGAAATAATCTATCTAATTGTATCATATTCCCTCTATAATAACTGGTCTAAAAAAATCGGGATGGACAACAGAGAGTTACATCAGGGCTCGAAATAATTGATGGCCCGCTGGTCTGGGGCCAGTGAATTTTCAATCTGGGCTAGTACATTGCAGAGGGCATGTGCCCTTTGGGTCAGCATTTTTTTATGCATAATAATATTCATTCACAGTAGGACTAGTTAACTGGACAGGGTTGTGTGCCCCAACTTCTACTGTTTCTTGTTTTGTTAAGCTGCACTTCTAAATATCACAATATAAAAAAATACTACTATTATTATTATTGTTTTGGGCCAGTCTTTTTAAAATGTACTAGCCCAGTGAGACAGTGAAAGTACTAAGCTGACCAGTAAAAATTGAAGGCAATAGCCCAAGTGACCAGTAAACAAAAATAATTATTTCTAGCCCTGTACATATATAGTACAGTGCCACCCAGTGAAAAATGTGTATATTAATTGCACACAAAAAGTGCACTGTTTTTTTCAATTCATTTCTTTGTATATTTTTAAAGCTACCATCTCAAAATATTACCAACCATGTGTTCTTGGAATATTCTTTTACTACTTCCACAACAAAACATTCCTAAAACTTAGCTGTTGTAAAAAGCCATTCATGGGCCCGAAATTGAGACCAATTTTTAGTGGCAAGAAAATTCATTCTAATACACTCTGTGCATGACTTGTACATGCAGTTTGTTGTTGATGTAGTAAAAGAATTTGTTAAGAATACATGGATGGAAATATTTTGAGACATATGCAGAAATAAATCAAGAAACAGAGCCTTTTTTTTAACACAACAAATCTACATTTTTTTCAATGATTGGCACTGAACGTCTGAAGCTCTCTGGTCGTCCATCCCAATTTTTTTCAGTCAGACCAGCGAGCTACAGATCTGCAGGTAATACTCAATTACTCATTGTATAAGTACAGTACTGTGAAAGGGGGATTGTAAATCTTGTGGAATTTTTGAATTAATGAGATTTCACATTCATTGAAGTTTCACAATCCAATATCGGATAAATTCAGAAAATATTAAAAGAAAAAAAAATGTGTGTAAAAATCATATCAGATTACACCGACTGACAGGTGCGCGGAGACTTACACCCTCACAGACAGTGAGACACAGTCACACAGACCCATTTAATACATCTAAGTCTTACAGTTCAATCATATACAATGTGATTCTCATCGGACAGCGTCTTACCTTATGGAGAATCAGAGAGTGGAGCTGGGCGTGTTTTGATTGTTGAGAATGCGTCTGGTAAAATAATTCTGCTGTTTGTTTTGTCTGTAATCTTTCGTGTTTTGATACCTCTAATCGGACGATGTAATGCTCTGTAAACTCTTGATCTATTGGCTGAAATAACTGAAAATTAAATAAGCCAATTGACGATCGTTGCTCATGAACGGAATGACTCCCAACTAAAAATAGAAATCTAAAAATAGTGGACTAATGACAGCTAATGATTTCATAGCGGAAATAAGAGAAATTCCAAGATGGAGGACTCCAACTTACCTCTATCCGTTTCTGTATGTATTTTTGCAGAAAAGATGATACTCATCGTTTTCAATTTCTTTTTCAATACTTTTTTCAGATAGGAACAAATCTGAAGTGCCAAAGAAATGTAAATCTGTAGATTGGCAAATACGTTCTGAGCCCCATCTGAGCGTTTTGGCGAATTGACAGTGAAACTCATTTTTTTGACACCTTTCTATATTTTTTTTATGCATTTTTAAAAATCCTTTGTTTTTTAAACAGTTTTGGGAAAATTGTAATTAATTCGTATTAACTGTACCATTAATCACAGCAAGATTCCACTTACTGATTTACCAAGAGTTCGTCTGTACTTGCATGACTTCTTCCCCATCAGAATAAATTTTATACATGTACTTATGCTTTTTTCTTCTAGATTTATAAATTGGAGGACTACATTAACTGTTCTATATGTATGAATCAGTTAATCAGTACCACCATGACGTCATGTGGACATAGGTATTGTCAAAGGTGTATAAAAGAGTGGGTGGACAGGAAGCACACTTGTCCCTGCTGTAATGCTCACCTGGATCAGAATTCACTTCTAAAGGATCACCAATATGACAGTCTTATAGGTGGGGGCATTCTCAGTAATCTAAGTTACAACTGAAGCATTGTAATAATATATAAATTGAAAGAAATCAAATAACTATATAGAGTTCTTCTCTATAACAGCCCAATCATATTTGCCAAAAGAATTGAACAATAATGCTTGACTGATTGCCCTCCCCTCCTTCCCTCCAAAAGAATATTTTCTAAAAATCAACATTTTCTCTTTTATAAAAAATAAAATGTTCTATATAAAGGGAATGCAGGAGCATGTTAACTGTGTAGTGATCATTTCTCTTTTACAGCCAGAACTGTCAGATAATCATATTTATTAGCTTCATATGTTGCTGGTATTGTCTATGAACAGTATACATTGTCTTTGTTGTTTTTCTTTACTAGCTACCATTAATGCAGAAAAAGAAAGAGAAGAAGAGAAATATTTTGAGACATTGATAAACTCAGTCAGTCATGATGAAACACCCAATATTCAACTTTCACCTGTGGAGAAAGTTCTACAGAGTCAGTGCATTATGATATTGTGTAATATCTATAATTTGATCAAGTTTAACTTAATCAGTTTTTGTGTAATATCTATAAACTTGAATCAGTTTTTGTGTGTACTTACGATGTTTATGACATGATACTATAAAGTGGAAATTTACACTTAGGGGTATTTTATACTAAATAAAAAAAAACTTTTGTGCAAATATCCTTCCACATACTAGTGCCTTTAAACGTATTTCATTCAGTTCAAACAATACAAAATGCTGGTCTCACGGAAATAACCCTCACATGTAATGTTCTTGCTTCTAATTCACTTAACAACACACATAAATATTCTTGTTTACAGTAATCAATTTGAATTACTGATAGAAAAGGGAGATGACATACATAGGCTTTTAAGCCTGCAGTCTGCTCCCAATTTTTTTCTTCAGAAGTAATACATTGTTTAACCTATTATTGATTTAGATCACCTGAAAAGAAGCTTAGCAGCACATGAAAAATACTTACAGGTAAGAAAAATTTATATATTTTAACCAGATTCATTTATGCATGTATAAAAATTATTTTTTACACAGGAAATATGTGAGATATTATTATTTTATGCAGATAAATTTATTTTTATATTCAGCATTTGTTTTAACATTACAACTTAAAATTTGTAGAATATAAGGGACCAGTTTCACAAGAAGATGGCTACTCTGGACAAGGAGTATACTAAAGCTATCACAGATTTACAGACACACAACCTTTCTCAGGAAGGTAGACAACTCTTTATATATACTGTAATGTGCTTTTTTATGCCCCATTTCATTGTAATCAATCTTCATGTAATAACAAGGTACACATCAATATATATCTGATATGGTTATTTTGCCAAAAGCTTTGAAACTTCATGTGCTTTACAGTTGACAGTACTTTTGTTTTTGTAAAAAGAACAAAATCAACTTTTTTTGTTTTAATTTCATCCTAAGGAAGAGAGGTGAATTTTTCCATTATTTTTTTTTCAAAGCTCTGTATTTTACAAAGGATACAAGTTATTAGCTGTTTTATCTGAGTAGAATTTTCTTGTTCTGTGTTTTATTAAGACTCAATAGTTCTTGGATAAGTTATAATGTGTCCAATCTATGATGATTCATGTATATCATATATTTTTAATTCACTCACATCCTGCATGTGTAAATGTTGAAATTTTCAGTTGTTAATACAAAGCTATTTAAGCTTCATCCAGTCTTCATGTTAACTTTTGATGCTGCTTCTTATTTTCTACATATTAGAGGGAGACATCATTTTTTTATAAATTGGTTTTTAATTAAGAATCATTACCTGTTTTGGACATGTTCACACAGTTATCTATTTATTGCTAACTCTGATTATATTTTTCTGACTGACCACAGAACTGACCCAGCAAACTACAGATCTGAATGGCAGCCTCTCTAGACAAAAAGATTCCCTTCAAGAAGAGCTTAATACATGTACAAAGCTTATTGCAGATGCATTTGACAAGTAAGAAATTTTATTTTCCCATTAAACAATACTGTTGTTTTATAATTATTTTATTTTCCCATGATATCCCAGCATTGTATGTGAAGTGAAGATCATTTTTGACTTAGTAACTGTTATTGAGGAAAGTAGAACCTGCATACATTATGTCTGCAGAATCCAACTATAATTCCTGTTCTAAATGATTTAATTTTATCATTTAGACATTTAGAGAGTCACATTCCACGCCTGGATGTTCTGCCAGTTAAGGTTTCTATCAACGTCTTAGACAAAAATATCCATCTGTCTGACATGGTCATAGCGCCAGCTGACGTGTAAGTGGCTAAGAAACAGTGATGTAATCTGGTATCGTTGTTTCTTCATTTAAGTGAAAATAGAACTTTTTCAAATAATAATCTTTTATTAAAGATTTTTAACTTCTCAAATGTATTTATAATATTGATTCTTGAGGAGAACAACTGTGGAAGCATAACACTTATGATGTAACTGAATGATCAGTGATTTATTTGAATATAGAGCTGTATCTAGAGTTAAGCTAGCTGTAGAAGAAGCCATGAAAGCTAAGGGTAACCCTGTGGTGGCGTGAGGTGAGGACATTCAGTTTGTACTGTTTGGGTAGGTATACCATAATATAATTATTGTTCTTTATTAATGAAGATGTGTTCTGTCACACCAGTGTGTTAAAGACCTTGCAAGAAATAGAATTACATGTACTTAGATATTTGGAGTTTTGTATTATATGCATCTTCTCTAGCCAAGCGTTCCAATCCCCTTATCTCCTATTTTACAATGAAGGGATCCAAGCTGATCTTATTACTTTGCTAGTAATGATGCTGATGAAATGATTATATCAGAAAAGGAAAATAAATTATTAATGTCATTTAGCCTGTTCTCTGTGAAATGTTTGTTCTTACTTTTTTTTTCTCTTGTTTTAGTCCTTTCGTGAAGTGCAGTCCTTGTGAGATGCAGCAAATGATCCAGGAGATTTTATATAATGGACAGGAGTACCCAGACATCCACGTCTTAGCTCCAGACTGTAGGCCAGTCCTGCAACTTGGAATGGTAATTAAGGAGTTATTATATCCCTTTGAATGCTTTTTGATTTTAAAAAAACGGATTTTTTTCTTACCTCAATGTTGTGTACATTTTAAAGATTTATTCCATTATACATCTCATTAACCATTTCTATGTTTTTATAAGAAACCTAACAGTGAGTTGGTGATTTACGGCACACTGAGATGTGAGAGTGACCTCCCTAAGCGTTGCTTTGTTCAAACCTTCAAAAAGAACGAGGGTCAAACGATGGATTACTTCCAGTGTAAACAATGCTCATTTAAATGTAAGCTTACTGCAATCACCATGATATCAAAGTTATGTAAAGTTTTGGAGGAAAATCTTAAATGACTTGCATTCTGTTTGTCATTTTGTAGCATGTTTTAGTGTCATGATAAAGTAAATCTTGGACAATTTGCCCTAGTTTAAGAACATTTATATCTTGTCTTTGATTATAGGGATTTGTAGGTCCTGTATGGAAGTCTGTCACAAAGGTAGGCCCCTTATTATTACTTTAGATACAAAGTATTTTATCTGAGGCTGTGCTGTCATGGTTTCTCTCAAGGACAAATTTTTGTTGCAGTTAACTATAATTCCACAGTTGGTGTTATCACATGTTGGACATTCTAAAATATGTAATAACAACTATTTTAAAAATCTTATAAGATACTATGCAGTGTGAGTTGTAATTAGAAGTTAGCAATAGATCTAACAATATACGTTTATTGACTGGGTTTGAGGGCAATATGTGTTTTTTCAGACCGAAGAACCAAACTGTTTGCCTGAGGCCTTTAAGCTGAAGGCAAACAGATTGGTTTGAGGGGTTGACAAAATGCATTTTGCCAGAGAACACAGTCAATAAATGTTTTGTTATACCTTTTATTTTATTATTATTGATATTTTTTTGACATACATGTATCTCTGGCTTCCATGATTTCCTATACCCGCACTGTAGTTAAACTCGGTCAATTCCGTCACTGTTGAACACGAACGGGTGCAAATAAGATTTAGTTGTTCCCGCCTACAGTGTGATGTAAGCAGTCCAATATCTCATCAACAGGTCCAATATCTCACTCTTCGGTCAAACATTGATTTTTTTATGACCTCTCAATAAAATATCAGAAATGTTTGACTTTTTCAAGTAGAGATTATAAAGGAATTTTTAAAGGTAAAACAATTGTAGAAATTATCTCAAAAATGTAGAAAAAATATATATATATTACATGTGTTTATATTAGGGATGTCAAAGAGTATTTGAGTATTAAACTATCACTCGGTCATTCCGACTAAATATTTTTAAATACATTACTCATTAAAGGTTAGTAATTTTTAAGTTAATAAATTGAGAGATTTTTTCTTTACTGGTCTATTGGTATCAAAGCTTAGATCCTCCTCTGATGTAGATAAAAATAACGAAAAGACATTGCAAGCTTTTTTTTTTTGTTTTGATAATAAGAACATGTTAACTGTTTACCAGTCACGGGTTCATAATTGGCTACAATTAGACACATTTAAATTGTGTTTAATGATAAATTTTATAATTACATGTATTAGGGACTGGAGAAGAAATGAAAAGCCCCAGTATTTGAAAAAGTGTAATGATGAACATGTGTATTTACAAGAAGATAAAATATGTTGTAAAAATCAATTTTAATTGAGAACATGTAGTAAAAGTAATTCTACTACGAGAAATAATTACCGGTATATGTTTAAACCATACTTGAAATGAGAAATACGTACGTTGTATGTGACAGTAGCTTGACATTCTGAATGTACAAGTAATCTGAAAAGGATATGAAGTAAAAATGATTTGATATTGGTTTTTATTGTAGGACATGACATAGTTCCGTATATCATGAACCATGTTCCAGAGTGGTAAGCTTTATTAATGTATACATGTAGATATAAACCTCATCATACGGATGTGTACTTGTTAAATTTAATGTTATAATTGTGAGGAGAATCAATTTCTTACTGCCATGTAGAACATGCTTTTCTTTTCTGCAGGGCCTGCTGTTATTGCCCCAGGAAGAAGAAATGTGTACTGTAGGAGGAATTTATCAGCAATCATTCTAAACAGAATTCCTATTCCTCTTTTATAAAGAGATATTTCTTTGCTCTATATAAACTCAGAATTTTTTGAAATTCTGAGAGAACTTACTGCATGACTGTGATATTATAAGTAGACATACACTATCTAGAGAGTTTGTTAGAGAATCAAATCCATTAATAAATTGTTGTCATCACAGTATTTCTATTTTTCACGACAAGGACAATATTTACTACAGATACAACTTAAAATGTGGAAAACAAGTATGACAAGCAAATTCAAGCAAATTCAAAGAATTGTGGTCCCCTGCTTTCAGTGTCTTAGTTGTTTGGGTGCAGTTATTTATGGCATATTGTAACTGTCTTGTTTGTAAGTCCCTCAAACTTCTAGGTCAAGGTCATGAAGTCAAAAATGATATACCTTTCTGAAAGATGTTGTCAGAGAAATATATATGTAAAATATGAAAGCCTTATCTTCTTTAATCCAGAAGTTATTACCAATGTAAAAAAAAAATGAAAAAGACTGTAGGTTAAACTTTAAGGTCAACCTCATAAGGTCAGAAACAGAGTACATTGGGAAAGGACTTGAAACAAGTTATGAAATGTCAAATATTAATGCCCTATCTTCTCTCATTAAAAATTGTAAGCAATAATAAAGGTTTTGAGAATTAGATCTAACTTCAAGGTCAAAGTCATGGGGTTAAAAATCATAGTACATTTGGAAACTTCTTGTCAAAGGTAATGCAAATGTCAATTATAAATACCCTCTCTTTCTCCTTCAAAAGTAAGGAGCAATGGTAAAAACTTTGAACATTAGGTCAAGGTCATTGGGTCAAATATTATAGCACATTCAGAAACTTCTTGTCACAATAATGCACTTGTCATCTCTCATTCAGAAGTTTTCATCAATTTCAAAATTTTGATAAAAAGGTTAAATTTCAAGATCAAGGTCACAGGGTAAAAAATATAGCATGTTCTGAAACCTCACAGGTAATGCACATGTCAAATATAAATGCTCTACCTTTTCTCATTCAAAAGTTATAACCAGTGTTAAAAGTATTGAAAAGAGGTCAAACTTCACGGTCAAGGGCTCAAATTTGGAAAGGTCTTGTTAAAGGTAATATACATGTGAAATAAAGTCCTATCTTTTTAGGTCACCTGAGTAAACTATTGCTATCTGTTTTTGTCTCGTCATGCATTGTGTGTTAACATTTGAACATTTTCAGCTTCTTCTCTGCAACCGCTCAACCAATTTCAACCAATTTTGGCGTAAAGCATCTATGGGTGAAGGGGAACAAAAATTGTGAATTTCATGGTCCCTGCCCCCCTGGGGCCTGAGGGGTGGGGCCAAAACCACTAAAATCAATGCAATCTTTAAAACTCTTCTTCTTTACTCCTGGACATCAAGCAGTCAAACTGTTGGCATGATTGTAATAAGCATTGAATCCTCTACCAAAATTGTGAAATTCATGGCCCCAGGGTCAGGGGTTCTGGTGCTAGGGCGGGGCTATATAGATTATATAGTGAAAATGCATAATTTCTTTAAAAATCTTCTTCTCTGCTCCTGGGTATTAAACAAACTAACTACATACATAGTTATGACGAGGAATAGTGTATCTTCAACATTGTGAATTTCATGGCCCCTGGGTCAGGGGTTCTGATGTTAGGGCTGGGCTCTATTGACTATATATTGAAAATGCATTAGTTCTTTGAAAATCTTCTCCTCTGCTGCTGGGTATTAAACAAACTAACTACATACACAGTAATGAGGAAGGGTGCCTTTTCTTAAATTGTGAACTTCATGGCCCCAGGGTCAGGGGTTCTGGTGTTAGAAAGGGACTCAATTGATCAAATTGTGAAAATGCATTAATTCTTTGAAAATCTTCTTCTCTGCTCCTTGGTATTAAACAAACTAACTACATACAAAGTTATGATGAGGAAGGGTACCTCTTTGAAAATTGTGAATTTCGTGGCCCCGGTCAGGGGTTCTGGTGTTATGGCGGGGCTCTATTGATTATATAGTGAAAATGCATTAATTCTTTGAAAATCTTTTCCTCTGCTGCTGGGTATTAAAGAAACAAACTACATACAGGGTGTTTCATAATATATGTCACACATCTAAATGAGCATAATCTGAATATCAAGCACGATACCAAAAATACCAAAATATCACAGACAATCATATTAATCTAAAATTATGATATTGCAAAATATTGGGAAAATTATAATTCCATGAAGTACATTGATGATATAATCAGTGATGTCATGATTTCAGGTTGTTCTCAAAATGGAGTAAAACTAGAAATTTAAAAATTTGAATTTGTAAACTTTTATTATAAGCACGATATCCTAAATATTCTATAGGTGTGATGACGAAAAATATCCAGACCAGAAAGCCCTGTCTAGTTTTTATTTATTAAGGTAAATTAAAAAGTTTGAACAAAATGTAATGTAAAGACAGTTAAATCATGGCCTCCCCCCCCCCCCCCCCCACACACACACCAAATGAGAACATCGTCAAATTGAAGTCAATCATTGACAAAACCCTAAGAAAGTCAGTTAGATCTGAGTTTAGGGAAATGGATTGGGTCAATGTAAGTGTATCAAGTGTATTTAGAAATTTTTAATTTGAACTTAGTGTGTCTACATACAAGATTTCAGCATTGCAGCATATAAAGCCAACTGACATTCAGAGTCGGTTAAGTTTGCAAAATTGATTGAAAGAGAGCGAAAGAAGTGGACGTCAGCACATACCGGTAGTTCTGAAATCACACATTTATTTAAGTGCATCTTTAAATAAGAAAATAAATATGCACTTTGGGGGTTCTAAAAATCTAGATATAAACAAGAAAACTTCACTAGTGTCCTGTGAAAAGTACGAAGCAGTGGTCAGAAATCTGAACATGAGTCTCTTGAGGTATTTAGGACAACACGTGGCGTATAACATTTTAGGAAATCGTTGCCATAGAAACTGAAATGGAGAATTTTGGATACATTTGACTTAAAATAATAATTTTGTATATCTGCTGATTTAAATGATACATAAAATGTCTATGTAGTTTTTGTTGTAATTTTTCTTTCTGCCTTTAGATGTGTGACATATATTGTGAAACACCCTGTACATAGTTATGATGAGGAAGGGTACCTCTTTGAAAATTATGAATTTCATGGCCCCAGGGTCAGGGGTTCTGGTGTCAGGGTGGGGATCTATTGATTATATATTGAAAATGCATTAATTCCTTGAAAATGTTCTCCTCTGCTGCTGGGTATTAAGCAGATGAACTACCTATATAGCTATGATGAGCAATGGTCCTTCTTTCATGTTTGTGAATTGCAAGGCCCCTGGGTCAGGGGTACCGAAGGGGGGGGGGCTCTAATTATATACTTAAAATGAATTAATGCTTTGAAATCTGCTCCTTGGCATTAATCAAACATTTATGATGAGCAAGGGTGCCTTTTCCAAAATTGTTAAATGTGTGGACCCAGGGTCAGGGGTTGTTGTGGGGTGGGTCACTACTGATTATCGCTGAATATTACTGGTTAGTTGAAATGCATTTTTTTTATTCCCCTACTCTGCCTATGGGTATTAAGTAACTGAACTAAGCATGTTAAGTGTATAGTTATGATGAGCACTGGTGCCTCTTTCAAAATTGTGAATGTCATGGCCTCTGGTTTAAAACAGGAACCAAATTCAATGGTTGGAAAGTTGTTGCATAAGAAAATGACGAATACACATGTGAAGTTTAAAAGCCCAAGCACCAGCCGTTCAAAAGTTATAGCCAATGTTAAAGTATCATAAAATTTTGCAAAAGTGGGTCAAACTCCAAGGGCAAGGTCAAAAGGTCAAATATGATGGTACCCAAAGAAAACACATTTGAAATATGAAAGTCATAGCTCCAACCAATCAAAAGTTATGGGCAAGGTTATTGTTTTTGCAGACAAACAGACAGCTAGACAGACAGACGGATGGACAGGGCAAAAACTATATAACCCCGAATCTTCGATACGGGGACATAAAAAATATGATTTGAGATTTGCATTACTAATAGATAACATTCATCGAGGTGAGCTTCGTATTCTTTGATTACCTATGTTTTTTCTTGCTGCCCCTATTCAAAAACGATACTATGTGCCTGATATCAACACCTGCTCAAGGATTTTTTTTCATTTGTTTTATTTCATTAATTATTCTATTCTATAAGTTTTTATGAAAAAATGAGTTTCATATGAGAAAAAAATAACGTAGAATAAACGTTTCATTAAAAAAAAAAAAAACATGTACGCCATATCATAAAATATAAACGTTTATTCGACTTTATTTTTTTTAATTTTTCATATCAAATATAATTGCACTTGTTGCTAGAAGATGAATTTATGTATAAAACAAATGAAAAAAAAAGCTGGGCCGGAATATATTACTGGGGGTTGTGTTCTGTCCATAGGTACCAGCATGTAGGTAAAAGTACAAGGCAACCAAAAACATACGTGGACATAAGACAATTAGATCTTTGATGATGAGGGCTTTAATTTTTTTTTTTTTTAAAATTAGTCCTTCATTGAAAAGTCAACTGATATTTTTTTTAATTTAGAGTAAACCTTGGAATTGCTTGTATAAAAAAGAAATAAGAAATGTTGTCCTTTTAACGATAAAATGTTTCTGTAACTACACAAGGTGACATGGAATTGAAAGCAATTTGGTAAATAATCATACAGTTCTGACCCACTTTAGATAACTGCATTTGGCAGATGTGTATTAAAATTGCTTAAGAAATCCATATTGGCACACAGCTCCTGGCAAATTTTGAATAGTGAAATAAAATATTTACCCATTGATGGTATTATCCAAACTACTGTAAAATAACATATTTTCGGGGGGGGGGGGGGGCAAATTTTCGCGGTTTTAGGAAAAATATTGGTCAGTGGGGATTTGATTTCGTGGATGAAGAAGTGCCTATAGTTGTTATTAATTTGAAATTTTTACATTTCGTGGGGGACATGAATTCCTGGGTCTCTTCATACCACAAAACAACGAAAATTAAACTCCACAAAAATCAGTGATTTTAAAGTAATCAGTAACTCTTAAGATGTTTCATGATGGTCATTCATTGCTCCTGTAAATTCAATTTCTAAAATAATCTCTGATCATAATGTTTGAAATACATAAAAAAAGTGTGTATATAAGTATAAGACAATTACTATAGTGTGTATATAAGTATAAGACAATTACTATAGTGTGTATGTAAGTATAAGACAATTACTATAGTACGTGCCTAAAAAGTAACGGTAAAGGTATAGGGATTGTTTATAAAGAAGAATATATAATGTACTGGGATAATCAGTAAAAAAAAAAAAATAAAAAGCAAAGTAGGATAATCTGTACAATAGACGCAAGTAAGGTGTCGTGATAGTCTATACATGAGACAAAAGTAGTCTGTACAATAGACAGAAGTAAGGTGTCATGATAGTCTATACATGAGACAAAAGTAGTCTGTACAATAGACAGAAGTAAGGTGTCATGATAGTCTATACATGAGACAAAAGTAGTCTGTACAATAGACAGAAGTAAGGTGTCATGATAGTCTATACATGAGACAAAAGTAGTCTGTACAATAGACAGAAGTAAGGTGTCATGATAGTCTATACATGAGACAAAAGTAGTCTGTACAATAGACAGAAGTAAGGTGTCATGATAGTCTATACACGAGACAAAAGTAGTCTGTACAATAGACGCAAGTAAGGTGTCGTGATAGTCTATACATGAGACAAAAGTAGTCTGTACAATAGACAGAACTAAGGTGTCATGATAGTCTATACATGAGACAAAAGTAGTCTGTACAATAGACAGAAGTAAGGTGTCATGATAGTCTATACATGAGACAAAAGTAGTCTGTACAATAGACAGAAGTAAGGTGTCATGATAGTCTATACATGAGACAAAAGTAGTCTGTACAATAGACAGAACTAAAGTATCCGGATAATCTGAACAATAGATACAAGAAAAGTGTCAGGATAGTCTGTACATGAGAGAACAGTAAGGTGTCAGGATAGTCTGTTCAGAACACACAAGTAAGGGGTCGGCTAGGATAGTTTATGCATGAGACATAAGACATAAGTAAGTTGTCAGGAGAGTATATACAATAAATAGGATAGTCTGTACATGACACAAAAGGTGCCATGGTATGATACATGAGATTAAAATAAAGTAAGGTGTCAGGATATAGTCTGTACAGAAGACATGTAAGTAAGATGTAAGGATAGTCTGTACATCCTATAGAGTACTGTAAGGTGTCATATTAGTCCGTATAGATGACCTAACTAAAATGTAAGGATAGTTTTTTTGAATAAGCATAGAAATTTAAAATGTAAACTGTAAACAATGCAACTGTGTCCAGGCCCCTTTTAATATCAGGAAAGTAAGACTGTAAAGATACGGTACTGGTAAGTACATGTAAGCACTAGGACTAGATCAGCAGTTAAAATAAGATAAAATTCTAAGATAAATCTATAAAAAAAGAAATAAGGTACCAGGCATGACAGAGAAGTACAAGTAAGATATGGAAAAGTCTGTAAAAAGAATATTAGTCTGCGGAAAAACAAGGCGTTATTGTACAGTATGGGAAGGCATTTATAATTAGGATAATCTATAAACAAGTAATAATGCACCGAGAGATTATATCAAGTTGATAAAGTAGGTTTTGTTCTGAAATAATGTATAGAAAAGAAAAAATGTACGCTTTGACTGTGCTCTTTATCAATATAGCATTGTAGCTATAGGATCATGGAAGAATTTGTTTGACTTCCTTTTTATAAATTTTTGTGTTATAAAACACTCCATTCATCTTTGCCTAGCTTGTTCTCGTATCCCATTGATCTAAAATCTGATCAACTTCAATGTCAAATGAACCAGATGAAGGTAGAATTTCAATCTCTAATCTATTTAAAATGTGTATTTGGAAATCATAATTTCTTGTGGGTGTTAATATCTTCAACATATTATCTGTTGGAATTTCCATGGGAAATAATTGTGCTCCTTTATTAGCCGACCTGTTATATATTCCTATGAAGAGAATTTATTCAAAGTCTTCTACATGAGAATAAGAAAACACTTGCTATGGTCTTCAACTCGACGTTCAGACAAATCAACGACGTTTTATCAATTATATAGTTGCTTCTATTCATATGACGACTCGATATATCCAAGTGAACTCGAAATAAAAGACACCACAGAGTCTGCCACATTTGTTTCATATTTGTGATGTTTTACTGACTATAGACGATAAGTGCCAACTAACAACTAAATTGTATGATAAACAAGATGACCTCAGCTCTTTCCATCATCAACTCCCCTTACTTATGTGGTAATATTACACTATCACATGCATATGGTGTTTATATCTCCCAATTTATTCGATACTCAAGAGCATGCTCTTAGTACGATAAAGAAGACGGGCGAACAAAGCGAGTGAAATGCCCATGGTGCGACAAATTTTTGATGTGAAGGTGAAAAATTAAATCTCACTTACAACATAATTTCATTTGATATTTCATCTAAGATTTAATTAAGTATACTTTATGTAAAATCTCCACAATTTGCAAAAATCTCAGAGATTGAAATTATTTGTCTATGAAATAGCAAACACACACTAAAGAGGACAAAAAAGATCATTTTCTCATAGCACAATTTTTCCATATGTGTGGGGCTTCGCTTCATTTTTGTGAAGTTTATCCTCAAAGTATGCGTAAGAAAATACATATTCCGGTTAACAAAAACATGGAACAAAGACCCACTATACCTTAAAAACACACTTTTATGCACAGCATTCGGGTATTTCCGAGAAATACTTTAAGTCCATTTAGTCAAGGGTCTTATCACAAACATGAATTAAACGCCACTATGTCTTATGAGCTGTGTAGTGGCAAGCGTGTTAGTCTCACAGAAAATTCTAATACTCGGGATTTTTATTGCTAGGGTTCGAACCCCAAGAATACAAGATTATTATCTTTAATAACAGAATAATTTTTGCCGAAAAAAATTTCAACAGGAAAGTTTGGTTTGTCATAATTTCACAAATTTCAATAATAAGAACGTTACTCTAAATACTAAATTCACAGCTTGAATATGATTTTTAGATATCTGAAGCTTTAGGCATTCTGCACGGCTTTTCGCCCATCTTCTCTTTAAACCGATGGCTACTGAAAAACAAGTTGATGTTACAGGGATATCAACAATCTCGTTTAAAGTCAACATTTCGTTAATTCTAAGGTCGTTATAATGACGTCGTTAGCAAATACAAACCTATCATTACGTCGTATTTGACAGACATATTCATACCAATTGTTAGGCTTTTGTTTTATACCAATTTTGACTAAGGAATATTCCGTCTACCTGATCAATAATCGTACATAGGGTTCACGGCGGGGGTGACCGGTTGACAGGGCCCGCAGAACGCGAAAGGGGGGGGGGGGCTCCCACTTATTTCTGAATATAGTATTTTGCTTTGGTAAATTTTAATTTAGATGCTGGTTGTCCCTCTCCCTTGCTGTAAGGTCGAGCACTGGTAAAATTTATTTTATTTTATTATCATTATTTTTTTTTTTGGCTCTCAAATTATTTAAGGAAGTTGGCTTTTTGGACAGTTTAGGAGGTTTTTTTTGTTTGTCCGTTTTTTTTGGGGTGGTTGCGCTCCCACTCCCACCCTCATCCCCCATTTTGAAACCGTTGCTACTGGCCTGCAGGGGATGCCATCTTCTCCTAAACACCTGATCCCACCTATGAAATTTCCAGGACTCCGTGTTGTATGCCCTGTTCACAGATTTGTATAGTTTGTAGTTTTTTTGTTTGTTTTTTTTTTTTTTTTTTAGATCGAACACTTTTCGTAATTTCCCCTTTTTCATTTTGATTAATTTTTTTTTATGAAAAAAGGAAGAAAACTTGTGACTAAATATTTACATGATCTCTTTTCCCATTCCTGTGGATTACCTAATAAATTTCTTGACATTCTACAATACATTTTATGATTTGTACAAGGTTGACACGTGTTTTGGTGAAACACCAAGGTTTTGTCCAAATATAGAAGAAAAAAAAACAGTATTCGTGGTTTGATCACGAACAAGGCCGAATGAGATTGTACAAAATGTGCCGTGCATCAAATAGCGAGATACGTATATGGATTTAACAACAAAATCTGCTACTTGAACAAATGTCGATAAAATGAACTATGAACAAGTGTTTCACCCTCGGTCAGCACAAGGCCAGTCACATCTGTGTTTATATAGTCTTTATTAAGGTTCCATTTGAATTTCATCGGCTCATGTGACTAAATAGCGACAGGAGAATTCTGACCAGTGAGGGCCGTTTCGTATCAGTGTTTAAACTGAAGACAAATAATCTAGAGAAGATCACTGATCGTCACTCAGTCGTGTGTGAAAGATCTTCCTATAAAAAAATATGTCGTCCAACGGGAACAGAACAATTGTCATAGCAATGGACGGAAGTGAGCATGCGGATTACGCCTTTCATTGTGAGTACATGTAACAATTCAAAATTTACATTCATTAGGGGTACTAGTACACAATGTCTGAATTCAAAACGAAATCCAACTCATATATGATATATTATTTTATTCTTCATTACATATATATTATTACAATATGCAAACAAACTAGAAACAGTAATTTAAAAAAAAAATAATTGGTCAATGTTGATAAAATCTTGTAGAGCTCGCAATAATTCATCATTGTACAGTACACATTGTATGCAGAGTGAACTTATATACATGTACTCGTATGTAAAACAAACAAATGATGACTAAAGAAAATTTGCACGTGACACTTCTAGATAATGAGACATTAATGAATATTTGTCGGAGTAACAGCCCAAAACATCCGATTGAAAGAATATAAATATATACATGAAATGTTGTCTTTTTCGATATTAATGAAAATATCCAAGTCTCTGGACTTTTGAGATTAAAAAAATATTAATGATTTGATAGAGTAAGTATTAGTTTATTCACAAGTAATCACATATAATGCTGAAAATAGCAACGCAACCCATGTGAATTATCTTAAACCAAGCCACAGTATTTGTGTAATAATCAGGTAGAATGTGATGTCATACATTACACCTGACAGGTAAAGGTGATAGGTAGGGCTGGCCGATAAGACCCGGATCAGATATGTACACTGAATATTGATGATGTTTGTTTTATCATTATCTGCATATCAACTATTGATTGCTCTTTAAATAAACCCAATATGACTAGATAGGATGAAATCAATCAACAAAAAATAAACAAAAAGACAGGGGAGAAAGGGACCAGCTATACAGTTTCGAAGGCCACCTGTGCAAACTAATAATACATATTTAAATCGTATCCATTTATTATAGATACGTTACACAATCATACAGATACCTATCACATGCAGGTAATCATGATAGTTAATGTTTATTAAGGTCCTCCTGAAAACGACTACCCCCTCTCCCCCCCCCCCCCCCATATCTCCCTAAACTCGATTTCTAAAGGTTACATATCCATGAGTACAGTACATGTGGAAAGGAGGGGGGGGGGTCTAGAATTTAAGGTTCATAAACCCTCTGCTCACTCATATAAAATGTCTTTATTGAGGTTCCATTTGAATTTCATCAGCTCATGTGACTATATAGAGACAGGAGAATTCAGACCAGTGAGGGCCGTTTCATATCAGTGTTTCAACTTTTACTTTTATGATTTTTCCGAAATAAATGTATCTTATAAGTAAAATACAAACTATAATACATAGCTTGCGATGCAAAATTAATCAAAAAAGACATTTCAACTGGACAAATCTATTAATGAATAATAGACATTTATGTCATTAAGAGTTATCTCTCTTATCAATGAACCTTAAAATAAGTCCGGCTCGCACTTTAAGCACCAGACTTCATATAGTGTCCTTTAAACTATTTCAGGGACACGTGTTTCTGTATCTAGTCTACATGTACCTGATCTTACTACATGGAATTTGAAAAGCCATTATGGTAGATTACCAGGGACACTTGACCCCATTTTTATGATTCCAATGGGCAGTTGTATAGGAAAACTGTATAAAAATCAATATTAGTGCACATATTGACTTTAAAATTAAGTTGTCCAGCCTGTGAATTTTAATGTGGTTTTAGTTACCTAAAAATGAAAGTAAATCGAAATCCATTTTAAAAGATTTTAATAACTGCTTTTACCTGTTGGGATATCAATCGTTTCTTTTCAGAACTTAGAACTTAGCTTAATTAGGACTAATCTTGCAAGATTTTACTTCCATAATTCATATTTTTATCTTATATATTTTGACTCTTCTGGATATAATTGCTACAATGTCCTAGCAATTAAGATTTCAGTGAGCACTTGAGAGCCATACATTATCTATCTATTTCTTACTGTAAATTTACTTTACTTGTTGTAGCAAAGCCAAATCATCTGTTTCAGTTTTCTTTACTGTTTTTTGATTTGTCACAAATTAATAATCGAGACATGAAGCCAATTATATAAATTGACTGTTAGTCCACCAGTCCGACTGTTTCAGTGAATTTTCTTATAGCTATGTTAAAGTTTTGTTGTTTGTGACCTGATATACTCATTATTTTAGCTACATGTACATGTAGCTGTTGATTTATCAATGCCAATAGCCGTTGGAGTTTACCTTGACCTTTTCAAAGAAGGTTAGATGGTTAACACATTACCCAACAGATCCACCTAAAAATATGAAATATGATTTTTCTAGCCATAAATTTTTATTTAGTAAAGAAAAACCACATGTTCAAACTGTAATATTTAATGCAGAAACAAAGCTCTTCTTTCCCAGGAGGCTTAAATAGTCTAAAAATGGCCTCGACCACCCAGGCCTCTTATGTTCATTTTCCCTCTGTTTACTCGTGTAAAAATTTGCTTTAAGGCTAATGATTTCAAAAACAAATCTAATTAACAAATAAAATGCTTATAAATTTAGCATTTCTTGTGGAGTAAAAGTTTACAGAAATGGCATTTTGTTGAGCAAAATTCGACAGAAATGGCAATTCTTTAAAGGAATGATAGAAATTTATCCCAGTGAGAGTTACCTCTCTTATCAGAGGGTCAATGAACCTTAATCTTGAATAATGATTTAACTTTGAACGCAAAGATGAACTATGACTTCATTTTGAATGCACAGATGAACTATGATTTCATTTTAAATGAACAGATAAACTATTTACATAAAAGAAATTGAAATCTGTTTCATTTGTTTATCAACAGGGTACGTGAAGAATGCTTACAGAGAGGGAGACAAGGTCGTCATAGTGTTCTGTGCCGAATACAATAGCATAGCAAGTCAACGTAAGTAAAGTGAGCGGTACCGGCGTAGTGTTCTTTGCCGAATACAATAGCATAACAAGTTAGAGTACGTAGAGCGTGCAGTACCGAGTACGTGTCTTCATAGTGTTCTGTGCCGAATATAATAGCATAGCAAGTCAACGTAAGTAAATGAGCTGTACCGACATAGTGTTCTTTGCTAAATACAAAAGCATAGCAAGTTAGCACACGTAGAGCTTGCAGTACCCGGTACTGATCGTCATAATATCCTGTGCTGAATACATGTACAACAGCATGGCAAGTCAACTTTAGAAGGGTACAAGACGTCACAGTGTTCTGTACCGAATGCAACAGCATGACAAGTCAACGTAAGTAAGGTACAAGACGTCAAAGTGTTTTGTACCGAATACAATAGCATGGTAAGTCAACGTAAGTAAGGTACAAAACGTCAGATTGTTCTGTACCGAATACAACAGCATTGAAAGTCAACGTAAGTAAGGTACAAGACGTCACAGTGTTTTGTACCGAATATAACAGCAGGAAAAAGCAACGTAAGTAAGGTACAAGACGCCACAGTGTTCTGTACCGAATACAATAGCATGGCAAGTCAACGTAAGTAGGGTACAAGACGCCACAGTGTTCTGTATCAAATACAACAGCATGGCAAGTCAACGTAAGTAAGGTACAAGACGCCACAGTGTTTTGTACCGAATACAATATCATGACAAGTCAACGTAAGTAGGGTACAAGACGCCACAGTATTCTGTATCGAATACAACAGCATGACAAGTCAACGTAAGTAGGGTGCAAGACGCCACAGTGTTTTCTTCACCGAATACAACAGCATGGCAAGTCAACGTAAGTAAGGTACAAGACGCCACAGTGTTCTGTGCCGAATACAATAGCATGACAAGTCAACGTAAGTAAGGTACAATACGTCAAAGTGCTCTGCGCCGAATATAACAGCATAACAAGTCAATGTGAGTAAAGTGTGTGTTACCGCACTTTAGCATGCTGGAGGTTCACGGCGAGACACTTTTAACTTGGCGCCGCGTAACTTAAATATATATGGAACATGGGGGACGTCGGTGGCGTAGATGTAGGATCTCCCATGATTTGTAGTTGGATTTGATTTTTATCCAACGAGTTGTGTGTTTTTTAATCCCCGAGCCTTGGCGAGGGGATAAAAAATCAGACAATGAGTTGGATAAAAATCATGTCTAACTACATATCATGGGAGATTCTTGTTATCCCATGTATCAATTTTTATATACTGATATATTACTAATATTGATATAGGAATCCACTTCATTTTACTTCATCGCTCTCACGCGAAACCCATTGTGACGACACAGCAGTGGATATGAAAAAAATATCCAATGAGTGAGATCCACGGGATAAAAGGGTAAACATGGGATAAATGCCGTTTTGCTAATGTGTAGGCTATTGTGAAGTCACAGATTTAACCTGAGGCGCAAAGTGTGGGTAGGCAAGGAGCGGGTCGCCTCCTTTCGATAGGGATTGGGGGATGTCTCAGTGGGAGCATTTTTGCGAACTCGAAGACGTCTACTATTATCATTTGACCAGTGAAAACAATAATGTAAACATATTTTCAGTTTATATCATGATATGAAGACCACTTAGCAAAACTGAGAACTCTTAACTTATACTTTTACTCTGCTTAGAAAATATGGAAATTCCTTACTAAATACTCCAATTACAACAATACGTTTAATTTCCTTTTTAGTAATTAATTTTATTATCTGCACTAATCATGGACTCCTGTTGCTGTCGATGGTTTTGAAATTGTCTGATACAGACTAATAATATAACACTTGAATTACGGCTTTAAAAATTTCCAGCCATAGGAATATTTTTGACATTATATATATAAAGTAAAACTGTAAACGTTGGATAGGTATAAAAGTGCGGATTGCTAAGAATCATTTTTAGGCATTTGCAACAAAATAGAATTAATAGATAAGATTTATCTTTAACTTTTCTCCCCTTTTTTTCAACCAAATATTTATCCCTGAGAAAATGATGTGTAGGCTAATTCAGCCTTTTTGCCTATATGGAATATACGCCACTGGACGTAAATCGAGATTCTCACTAGGAGTAGTGTTACCACGAAGTCGAAGTGTACTGTACCGAATACAAACGTATAGCAAGTCAACGTACATATGAAGTAAGGTACAGTCTTGAGCATGGTCAACGTTAAGTGAAAGTTAATTACTTAGTTAAACTAACGCAGGTATACAGCGTACACGACCATTTTGCACATCAAACTGTCAGATTAGGCCAAACAAAAAAATATGTGTGGTTCCGGTTACACTTCCAAAAAAATTAGGTAGGTAGGTAGGGATTTTTTTTTTTTTTAAACAAAATGATTTTCTTAATTTTTTCTAAATAATACATATCACTGCTTTGCAAATGGCATTTAGATGTGGTGTGATAATATACTAGTCAATATTGGTAGGGGGACACCTACATGCTAGCTTGTTTTGGATTTAACACTATTAAACACTTGCACTATGTTTTGCAAGGAGGCCGTCATTGCTGAAACTAAAACTTAAACTGGAGCCATTGATGGAAATCGGGGGAAATTCCGGAAAAAATATGAAAATTGCCCAAAAAAAAGTTTAGGGTCGGGGGTATAAAATAGGGAAGGTCGGGTAACCGGAACCACACATATTTTTTTATTTGGCCTTAGACATGTATAATAGTACTAGAATGCAATAGCTTAGCAACACGGCTCTCTTAAGTTGCATTCTTTTTAACGACAATGAACTAGAAAATTAATCAAGCACCACACTATAAATTAAGCGGAAGCTGCGAAGGCCATGTTTTCAACAGATAATAATGATGCTTGTATGTAACACCGGCAAAATAAATATAGTATTATTTATCGTGAGTCAGACTATAAAGACACCATATCTCATGAGTAAATAAATTTTTATGAATTTGAATGAATACTTTTTGTCAAGTTATGGCTGCGTGCTGTTACTGAGGTTTATTCCTTTGAATGCAGTATTCCAAAACCTTAAACCTAAAGTTTGGGTGCATCAAGTCTCCCTGGAAGCTCTACTTTAAATAACAAAAGTATCACAAGTTAATTAAACTAATCTGAATTTTAATTACAAAGTTACTATTTTGGAAATGGAGTTCAATCGTAATTACAATTAGGTATATTACATATTACAAATTACACTTTTTGTGCAGTTTTAAGATCTTTTGTTTTCGAATAATATTGGAACTCTGAGAGAAATACAATAAAAAGTTCTGACTTTTTTCAGTTTTCCTTATAAGCATGATAAAAACCGTTATTATATCTTGATCATTAACTAATTAATTTATTTTGTATGCTTTTTCCGCATTTTATAAGTACATAACATTTGATATGCTTTCATATACAACATTGATAAGGTTTTGAGTGAATAATTTCACCTAAGTACAGGTATAGTATATAAAATTTTTTAAAAAAATACAGTAAATATAATAGTTTTTCTTTCCCCACACAGCACTGACCCTGATGTCTGTAGACAAAAACCTAATAACGAACCTGATAGATGGCGAGGAGAAGAAAGTTAAAGACTTAGCCTCCAAGTTTGAATCCTTAGTACTCAAGTACAAGGTAAAATGTCTTCTTGACACTGTTTTAGTATTGCCTATAATGTATATTAATCAGTATTATATCTTGTATTCAAAGGTACATTTATTGGCATGTAATTATCATGGTCCACAATGTATGTATCATAAGGTATATAATATAAAAACTGTATTATTTGGTATGGTTAAATCCCTTTTGTATGCGTTTGTTTTCTTAAACAGTGTACAGTGAGCCATTTAAAGGCATGTTGTTGAAACTTGCTGACAATTCACCGAAGTTTGAATTGAAACCCCTATTATCTAGGTATTTCTTTCAATTAAATCCATCCCTTTGGGCTTAAGTAGAAGTAGCATATGTAAAATTGTGTGTACCTTTGCAAATAAATAAAAGCGACAAGATGTAAAGATTTTAATGTAAATGTGAAGATTTCTAGAGAAAATTCGATCATATTGCTTATTTCACAATGTGCCCCGTTCATCTCTCTATCTATTTGTAATGCTTTCTCCTCATCCTTTCTTTCTTTTTAGAAATAGCTAAAAATTTCTTTTTGCTGCTGATTGGCCTGGTCCTGTAAATGTGCAACAAAGTTTTGAAATTTCCATTTTTAAAAGCTAGGTCTCTAAAAGGTGTGGTCGTGTGGTTAAAAAAATACGCCTGTCATTTTGAGTTCCCGTGAAGCTCCAATGAATCAAAACTCTAACATCTACATGTTATTTTGCTTATATTTAGCCATGATCTGTAGATGTGTAGTAAGATGCCAGAGTTTTGATGTACATGGGCTTCCCGGGGAGTCAAAAAGCTATTGGCTTGAATTTCTTTGTACATTTTGGGTTTTATAAGAATCTTTATCCTGTTAAGGACTTGTCAAGGTTTCGGTGTATACTATAAATAAGATTTAGGATGCTGCACTGGACCTAGATTTTTCAAATGAGTGATAAGCTTTAACATTTTTGCAGGAGACATATATTTTCTACATATTAGTGATCAGACGATATTTTGTAGCATATGGAGTAACTAGATTTTTTACCTTGACCAATCTTGCATACTTGAGATGTAAACTATCAGTACTGCTGCAGATATTGTACTTGATCTATATTTTCTGTATCTGTGATCTGACAGCTCTTCTTTGAGCAGGTTTGTTCCCAAGTAACTATAAAGTCTGTTTTGATTACTATTAATAAAATGGTGCATCTTGGGTTGCATGCTTCCGATGTTTCCCTACATCTTCTGGGTAAGTGGATATATGATAGTTTTAATACTTCCATTCTTAGGTACCAACAGTTTTATTGTTGTTCTAATATCGAGTGGATAATGTGAGGCTGAATATAACAGAGTATGTTTGGACATGTTGCTCTTGACCTACATTTATCAAATAAAGGATAAAGTTAAAATATTAAAGCAGGTCATGTTCAATGGGACACGACTTTTATAGTAACCTTACATTATAGCGACATCCACTAATGATAGATATATAGAGGATATTCAATGTTTTGTAGATGAATATGGAATTTATTTCACGAGTGGGACAGGATTTTTTTATATTTTCACGAGTACTAAGCACGAGTGAAAATATCAAAAAATCCTGTCCCACTCGTGAAATAAATTGCATATTCATCTTCTTCGCACTAGTGAAATTATCAAAAAATTCTGTCCCACTCGTGAAATAAATTCCATATTCATCTACAAAACATTGAATATTCTGTTTATTACATTTTCTTTGATTTTCCCTTTGACTCTGTCTTTTCATAACACGGTGTCATAGGCTGTGACGTCATAGTTGAGCGGTTGAGATGTCATGCATAGCTAAGCGATTCTGAAATTGAAAAACTTGTAAGTTTACATGGATTTTTAACAATATATTTGGAGAAACTTTGGCAGTTTTAGTCTCTGTCAGGATGGTTCATTTACTCTATCTTATAACAGACCAGGGAGGTTTTTTTAAAAAAATACTCTTCGTGATGGGAAGGAAAATTGATCGAGTTTTGTCGTACATCTGATATTCTCACACTGTGAGAATACCATTTTGATATCCTTTCACACTGTGTAAGAATTTCACTTTTATTCAATAAATAAATTACAGTATTTCACTGTTGTCATAAATTGCTTTAATGCCGTACATTGGGTTGAAAGTTTAAATTGTTGCTTTAACATAAGCCCTACAATGACTGACAAATTATGTTCTATTCCTTGAATTTTGATATATAACTAGCGGTAAGTCTTACATAATCCAAATTTGAACCTGCTCCCAATGCGGAATCTTTCATTAACCATCTGGGTCTAAAAAGGGATTTACAAAAATGGCCTTATCCTAAAGTCAAACAGCAGGGTGTGGGTATTATAATTTTCTTTGACTTCTAGTTATGTACATGTGTAGTTGGAGAAGGTTTACAGCTACACCAAACTACTAGTAACATTTGGTGCCTACATATATCTTAAAAACTAGTTTGTACAATGAAAATGGAGTTCACTTTCTTTGTAGTTTGTTGATATCAATCATTGGTTTTAATTATAATCTTCGGCTCGTTGGCGTTGGGTGATCAGTCGACAGGAGATGTTTACTTCTACTAGGCACCTGATCTCACCTTTGGTATTTCCGGTCCTTGTTTTGCCCGGTCCTCGATTTGTATTGTTTATAGAATTTATGAGAATAATCACTTTTCGTTACAGCCCCTTTCATTTTCATCGTCTTTTTTATAGATAGAAGGTAAAATTGTTCGAGTCAACGGAGAACCAGGACCTGGTATAGTGAAGGTGGCAGAAGAGGAGAAAGCGGCCATGATTGTGACAGGAACACGTGGTCTCGGTAAAATCCGTCGGAAGTTGCTCGGTAGTGTCAGTGAGTACATTCTACATCACTCACCAGTTCCGGTGATGGTGTGTCGGCAAAAAGAATGAACAGAAACTTAAAGAAATCCACTGCCTTAAATATGAATTTTAATAGAATGCAAAATGTGATTATGTGTATCCAAGACAATTTGGTGGAAAGAAGAGAGAATTTTGGAGATAAACACCACTGATTGGAATATTGGAGTTATTCTTAAACACCCGACATGGAAAACACAAAATATATACTGATGGCAATGTGTTGAAACACCAGGGTGCCAAACCTATATAATGCTTTCATATTCATATAGGTTTTCAGGAATATCTGTTTTCTGTTACAATGCCTTGATTACTTGTTTTAAAGGTATACATATATTTTTATATTGATGATTATATTTATATAATGAAATTAAGGTATATAAAATATTATGTGAATTCCTGTTTCTTTTCCTATTTGTTATTTTTGGGTGGCTTATAGTTCTGTAAGACTGCTTAATTAAAAAAAAAACAAACAAACAAACAAAAATCAGAGCAATTCGACAAAGTCAATGCATTCCTTCTTTATCTATTAATGTGCTTTAAACTTCTCCACACAAGGGTAAAGATTATTTGACCTACAGTAATAGTTTTCTTCCTTTACTATATACATATATATCTTCCCTCGAAGGGTCTGACTCTCTGGTACGTAGGTTTCAATAATGAAGCTATAATTATACTTTCCTAAAAACTGTTTTCCCACTGTCCAGACTATTATAATAGTTTATAACATTCTGTCATTAGAAATTATTTGTCCGGTAAATAATTCCAAGTTGGTAAACTTTAAGCTCTCATTGTTCGATAAACATAGTAAAAAAAAAAATTCAGCCATTTTACTATCTACTAGTACCCGGTAGATGACCTTTACATTTTGTGTCCTTGGGTTAATCATGAGTAAAAAGAGAGAAGACAAAAGAACACCACGTCAGGACACCCTTCTCAGAGAACTGAAGAAATTGAGCAAGCCTCAGTTGAATAAATTTCTATAAAACTTTGTGAAGCCAAGCTGTAATACATTCCACTTACTATTTTTTCAAGTCCTAATAACCTTTTCTATTTATCTGGTTGTAATGAAATCGATATAATTCCAATAATTTCATTATTATTGATGGCAAACACTCCTCATGTATTTGATCGACTTGTTTTAATTTATACTAGTTTATGGTTTCCTTCAACAACAATGTCCATGTGCTGTTGATTTTGATGGAAGGTGACTTGGCAAAAAGGATTTTTTATATAAACAAAATTAAAGAAAGAAAACCCAAAATTATCAGCATTTTTGTTTAAAGAAGTTGAGAGAGAAAAATCCCAAGAGGATCCCAGTGCTTATGGAGCGATGGATCAGGCGTCTTATTACAGTAGTCTGGCTTGGTGCAGAAAGATTCAAATACAGTGCATACACACATGTACTAGTAATCGGTCTTGTCGTTTTATATTAATTAACACGTCTACAAGTTTGTCCGTTTTGAGAATGAGCTCTTGGACAACACTTCTTTAGCAATGCATTGGTGTTGATCCAAATTTCTGTTGGGTCATAATATACATGATTAGATATTAATTCTCTCCTCGATCTGTCATGTTTAACGGTAGAGAATAATCTGTTAAAATATTTCACAATATAAATAATATACATTAATAATTATACAATATAGACACATTGAGTATTACATATAGATATGTTATACACATAATTCAAAATTAATTCTGTCATCTATCTGTCATATAAATCTATCAACGTTATTTTTTGTTTAATTTTGTTTTGTTGTTGTTGTTGTTGTTGTTTTTTTTGGGGGGGGGGGGGGGTAAGATTATTAAAAGTCAAGAATCATATTAATTCTGTAATAATAATATTTTCATTTTAAAAAGTTGGAAGTCCTATTGCAACTTTCCTCAGATATTTTAAAAGTTCAAACCCAGTCGAACCAAAGTCGCATCAGATACTTCTGAGGCACATTTCTTTGCAATTGGTTCCCAATTAATTAATTTTGCTAATCCTAATATTTTGAACAATTAAGATCTTGTATTAATATTTTGTGATCAATTGCAATAAATTATCCTTTCATCGCATTTTAATGAAGTCTACTTAGTTATTTTAGTATCAAGTAATGGTGGCATATCAGTTAAGTCTCCTCTAAATTTATTTTAGTCGTTACTAGTGCGGAAAGAGAGAGTTTGTAGCTTCTTGAATGATAAGTGAAAATGTGCTAAAGACGCCGTCATCGGTATGCAGTAAAATGATCAATAGGGACATCTTTACGGGGCCCTCATTAGTAATATTTGAATGACCAGTGGAGACGGTCATTTAGAAGTAACCATAAATAGCTTCTTAAGGACAAATGATACAAACTTAAAAAAAACAAAAACATGAAAATAACAATTTAGTCATGTTTAACTATGTAAAGTGAATAAGTTTAACCGCGTGTATATTAATTTTTCAGTCAAAATTTCACAATAAAGCCCTATAAAGTGATAAGAATAAATTGTACAGATTAATAAGGGCAATTGCAGAAAGGTATAATTTTGAACACCGTAGCAAGTTTAAATTCCAATAGTTTAGCAATTTAGTTTAATTATTTACAGCTAAAATAGGTCTAAAAATGCAAACCAATCCAGGCATCCATTTTGTGTCCCATCTCATTCTGTCCTTAAATGACTAGAAGAGACGTCATTAAGAGGCACCCACAAGTAGACATAGTTTAATGTCTAGTGGAGACGACCCTTTAGAGGCAACCACTGTAGCTATAGTTAAATGACCAGTGAGGATGTCATTTAGAGGCAACCATCTGTACCGAGTTAAAAAAAACCTACAGAGACGACCAACTAGTGGCAACCATCCGTAGCTATAGTTAATGACCTGTAAAGACGAACATCTACAGGCAACCATCTGTTGCTACAATTAAATGACCTGTAGAGACGATCATCTAGAGACAACCATCTGTAGCACGTTAAAGAGACGACCATCTATAGGCAACCATCCGTAGCTATAATTAAATGACTTGTAGAGACGGCCATCTAGACGCAATTATCTGTAGCTATAGTTAAATAACCTGTAGAGACGACCATCTAGAGGCAACCATCTGCAGCTATAGTTAAATGACCGGTTGAGACGTCCTTTAGAGGCAACCATCTGCAGCTATAGTTAAATGACCAGTGAAGACGATCATTTAGAGGAAACCATTTGTAACTATAGTTACATGACAAGTGGCGACGTCACCTAGAGGCAACCATCTGTAGCTATAGTTAAATGACCGGTTGAGACGTCCTTTAGGGGCAACCATCTGCAACTATAGTTAAATGACCAGTGAAGACGATCATTTAGAGGAAACCATTTGTAACTATTATTTAATGACACGTGGAGAAGTCATCTAGAGGCAACCATCTAAAGCTATAGTCAAATGACCGGTTGAGACGTCCTTTAGAGGCAACCATCTGCAGCTATAATTAAATGACCAGTTAAGACGATCATTTAGAGGACACCATTTGTAACTATAGTTACATGACAAGTGGCGACATCACCTAGAGGCAACCATCTGTAGCTATAGTTAAATGACCGGTTGAGACGTCCTTTAGGGGCAACCATCTGCAGCTATAGTTAAATGACCAGTGAAGACGATCATTTAGAGGAAACCATTTGTAACTATAGTTAAATGACACGTGGAGACGTCATCTAGAGGCAACCATCTGAAGCTATAGTTAAATGACCGGTTGAGACGTCCTTTAGAGGCAACCATCTGCAGCTATAGTTAAATGACCTGTGAAGACGATCATTTAGAGGAAACCATTTGTAACTATAGTTAAATGACACGTGGAGACGTCATTTAGAGGCAACCATCTGTAGCTATAGTTAAATGACCGGTTGAGACGACTATTTAGAGGCAACTATTTGTAGCAAGTTAAATGACCTGTAGAGACGACCATCTAGAGGTAACAAACAGTAGCTATAGTTAAATGACCCGCAGAGACGACCATTTAGAGGCAATCGTCAATAGCAGTAATCATATGATCCGTGGAGACGTACATCTAGAGGCAACCATCTGTAGCCATAGTTAAATAACCAATGGAGACGACCAGCTTGAAGCTAGGTAACCATCAGTTGCTATATTCAAATGACCAGTGGAGACGACCATTGAGAGGTAACCATCTGTAGCTATAGTTAAATAACCAATGGAAACGTCATTTAGAGGCAACCATCTGTAGCAAGTTAAATGAACTGTAGAGACGACCATCTAGAAGCAACCATCTTTAGCTATAGTTAAATGACCAATTGAGACATCATTTACAGGCAACCATCTGTAGCTTGTTAAATGACCTGTAAAGACGATCATCAAAGGGCAATCATCTGTAGTTATACTAGTAGATAAATGACCAGTGGAGACGTCATTTAGAAGCAACCATCATTAGCTATAGTTAAACGACCTGGAGAGACGACCAACTAAAGGCAACCATCAGTAGCTATAGTTAAATGACCAGTGGAGACGTCCATTTAGAGGCAACCATCTTTAGCTATATTTAAATGACCAGTGGAGATGTCATTTAGAGGCAACTATCTGTAGCAAGTTAAATGAGTTATACAGAAGATCATCTAGAGGCAACCATCAGTAGGTATAGTTAAATGACCTGTAGAGACGACCATCTAGAGGCAACCATCAGTAGGTTTAGTTAAATGACCTGTATAGACGACCATCTAGGGGCAACCATCTGTAGCTATTAGTTTAATGACCTGTAGAGACGACCATTTAGAGGCAACCATCTGTAGCTATAGTTAAATGTCCAGTGGAGACGACCATTTAGAGGCAACCATCTGTAGCTAGTTAAATGCCAGTGAGGATGTCATTTAGAGGCAACTATCTGTAGTTTCTAGTACTTAAATGACTAGTGAAGACATGCTCCTTATTTAGAGGCCATCAGTATCAGGCCCGTAGGAAGCAACTTCAGTTTGAAGGGCACATCTAATTAGTTGGGGGGGGGGGGACTGCGAAGGAAAAATTCCTTGACAAGCAAAAAAAAAAAGGTCATAAGACATTATTATTATTATTATTGAGGGGTTCCAAGCATAAAGTAGCCATGTTTTATATATTATACTATGTAAGGAAAATAAATTGGGGGAGGGGTGGTCCTATATACGGTCATGAGTATATTAGCTACAGTAATCAGGACTTTACGACTGAATAGCAGCTAGCCCACTACAATGATTAGAGGAGGCTGCATCTTCGCTAGCCAAGGGCTTCTGATACGCTCCTCTCCTCATAAACCCTTGGCATACGGTGCTGACAAAAGACGGGATTGTTTTTGTCACGTGATCATGATTCTTACCAGGTACGCACAGATTGCGTCATCGACAGAAATAAAAAGCGTATTTAAAAAAAATTTGTTTTTAAAGAATAATTAACAAGAAGGTATTGAGTTATATTAATTTGTTTTTTAAACATGTAAAAATGCAAATCTACATCTTCAGTAGATTCTTAATCACATATTTTGCACATTGATTTAGAAATTGGATGACACCATATTGCTATTCACAGAATGGCATGTTATCTTACGGATCATTGTTTACTTGAGTTTTGCATTACCGATATTAAGGACATTGGCAAGTCAGGGTTTTCCGGAGAAAAAAGGTTTAATACATGGGTTTTTTCGCTTATAAACTAGTGATTGAGAGTGATCTCCCGTGTAGAATTCTCTAAGCGGTGAAAACCAATAAAGCGTATGTCACAGAGGTAAACATAAGCACGTGTACCTCCTTCAACGGGTAGAATCATCTATACAGCAAGAAAGAAAAGCTGTAATGGCTTTGTTGTACATTGTATTCAGGGACAAAGAGCCAACAGGTCATTATTTACCATAGTTATGCTCAGTTTGCTGGAAAGGGCAAAGATGTGACATATGCTGAAAGGTAGGTCGACCATGCCGACTGAGAACAGTTCTTAGGTCATGTGAAGGAATCGGCATTTAGTAACTACGAATAAAAGTTTTTAAAAAATCCATGACAATATTTTTATGACAATGTGTTTCAATTCAGTCAATTACATGATAAAACAATCAACCAGTCTCTTGACCAATTTTAGCTGTTAAGGGACGCAACTCAAAAATAATGATCGGTGCCGGTATATCCATGTCTTGTTTCTAAATATACATTTTTAGCCAAAATATCTAGAAGTCATAGGAAATGAAGATACAATAATGTATATAATACAAAAGCTGTATGAAATAAATGGGTTTTGAAGAAATATTATGGTGAAAAATTATGTAGGTCCCTTTTATCAACATTTTACATAGGAAATGCATTAAGAATTGTGAAAACTCTAATTTGACAAAATCTAAAAAAGAATGATGGATTGGTAGGTAAAACGATCCAGAATATAGCCTGTTTAGTGCATTTAAACCTACTCAAAAGTTCTTGAAAAATTCTATACAATAACCAGGAACCTTGCCAATGTCCTTAAAGAGTCAAGGTATATATCCCGAACGCAAATATTCATTTGCAAAAAACAATTGCTGATTGGTCGAACGATGTCGATCAACTTCCAATCACAACTTGAGAAAAAAATCCCAACTTTTTTTAACACTGTATGCCAAGGGCTTATGAGGAGAGTAGCGTATCAGAAGCCCTTGGCTAGCGAAGATGAGGAGGCTGAAGAGAGAACACGAATAGAATATGTGCAATTATTTAGATCACATGAACCCATCTCAATTTATAGGGGACATCGAACTGTGATAAGAATTTAAAAGAAATTTAAACAAGAATGCTTAGTCTTCCATTAACTGGCTCATGTACTTCCTGTAAGTAAATAGATAGGGGCGATGTTTGTATGTCAATGCTACAACAGAGAGTACTTGTAAACAAGTGCACGATATCGCACCACATGCTATTTTGCCCACGAGTTGACCGCTAACAAAGAACTTCCTCAATGTAAGTAGTTTTCCCATTTTGCAGATCGACTCCTTTGTTATTATGGCCAGTTGATTTGTGCTATGAACTTGGATAATAAACCACATGTTTACAAATGTTAGCTAAAAAAATACGCACGTGTTTTGTTTAAAAATAAATTGAATACATGCATTATATTCTATTGGTGCGTATTTCACACTCCGGTTTGTTTACGACGAAGTCAGCTGTTTACCTGCGTTGACCCGGTTCTTCGTATGTGGAAAACGATCGATTTAGAACGTAGACAGTAGATATATATTGTTTCCCTTTACCTTTTACAACTGCGCCATTATCTTTTAGAAAAGTTAAATCGAAGCCATACGTTTGTTGACAGATACACAGCATTCTGTTTTCCCTCATGTGTGTTGTGCTTTTTATCCACCGACAGCGATAATTCACGAAGTAACCAGTCCACCGATTGATGCAGTAGAGGCCACGTCGTAACCGAGGAAATTCAGGACACAGGACCATGACATCCACGAAGAGAGTAGTTATAGTGGCTATAGATGGCAGCGACAATGCGGATTATGCCTTAAATTGTAAGTTTTCTATTTTACGACAGTGAACTGCTAGTTCATTTAAATAAAGTACAGTGTATGAAGCAATTTGGGGTTGTCGGTTTGTCATATGATTTATGTCATGGTCATGTTTAAAAATTAAATTTCCTTCTCAAAATTATATAACGTTAGTAAAAGTTGATTATCTCACCAGTCGGGTATGTAACTTCTAAGTAAAATGTCAACACAATTGTATTACTTAAGCAAAAATGAATCAATTAGTGTCGTTATTTTGCTCAGGGTATCTAGAAAATGTTCACAAGGCTGGGGACATGGTTATAGGCGTTCATTGTGCCGACTACAGCAAGCTTCAGAGTCAACGTAAGTCATTTTTATATAAATTGTGTGTGATCATATGCTGCAATATGGAGAATGCAACAATTATTCACGCAAGTTATACAAATACACCATTATATGCCATGTTAATGAACTGTTCTCCTTCAAAACAATGTTTTATTTTTCACTGAGCATTTTTTTTTAACTTTTATAAGTTGAATTAAAAAATTAATACTGTTTATAATGTTTTACATTAATGTAGTACAATGCCTGTTGAGTGCATTGTTGGTCTATAGGCCTAGTGACTATCCTTTGGTCTCTCGTTCACAAGCTTTGGCTTATTTTCTTTGAGGCTGTCATTTTTCAGCCTGACATTATCTGATGATGATACAATTCTCCTCGTTTCTTCATTGATTTTGGTTAAGTCAAATCCCATGATGTAAAAATTGATCCTGAAGCTGCAAAGTAAAGGATAAATTTCCATTAAGACCCTGGTTGTAAAAATGCAGTCTATAAATTGAGTCAAAACATGTTTTCTAAGACAACTGTTTAAACTTACTTAAACTTGCAGATATCGTTGGAAAGGGATTTTAAGAGTCAGAGTTGATGAAACAGACATTAAAACATAGACACACGGAATAACTAATAGTATACTTATCACATACCTCAAGGTCAATTTGTAAAGAACAGACAACAATCTTCTAGAATTCTTTTATAGAGGAAAATAAAATGTGTTTTTTATCTGAAGATTTTATCCATAGATTTTAAAAATATTTACAAATAACATGTATTGATTTTTTCACCTCACTCTTCTTGTCAAATTTTAATTGATATTTATTCTTTTAATTTACAGCACATTTTAAGCTTCAAAATGTCTTATTTGCAACCAAAGCAAGTTTTCTAATTTTTCTTAAAAATAAATTAAAAGAAAAAGCAGTTAAGCTTATATTGATCTTTAAATAGTGAAGTCATGTCAAAAGAGATACTTTAAACATCCTTAATATAGAATTTTGGTGTGTAAGTTTGTAACATTTCGGTACTAGATCTATGCTGTGTAGATACAGTTAGTTAATTGTTGTTCTTTCCAAGGTCACTCTACCTGCAAAAAGGACTAATAAACAGAGGAAAATATTTTAGTGTCACAAAAATACCACGGAAACGTGTCTGAACCCTCGTATACAAATCCCACATTTTTTTTTACTTTTGAGGATAACTACACAAGAATGTTTACTGCATAAATCCATCCACCAAAGTAGATGCTCCTGACATATATTTAGTGCAGTCAAGAGGGAAATATTTAGTTTTTACAGGAAACTTGTAAGGACAATCATCTTTGAATAGAGAAAAAGAATTATTACACTAGTAGATAATTTTAACAGCAGAGAGGAGAACAATAGGATATATATAGGATAAATCATTTATATCTCGTGAGGGTATCAGAATATTGCACACACAATAAAGAAAACCAGCAGCTTTTCACTCTTTAATTGTAATGATTCGTTAATTGTTATGACTAATGACATATACTAGTATTTAAAACGTGTCACACACTTAGACGTCATATATATATGATTGTTTGCAGTAGAAAGGAAGTATTTGTATTCCTATGAATTTCATCTTTAAAGTGACAAATTTAAAACTTTAAAAATACAGTGAAACGAGATTTCCATTTAAAGATATCTTGGCCCTATTAGAAAAAAATATTTTCTAGAGACGGGGACGTGTTTTGCACTCAATCTTCACCTTCATCCTCTCAAATCGGCTATGAGCTCGCACATCCAGTGTTCTGTGTGGTATTGTTAGGTCAAAATGCTCATAATCCAAAAAGCTGAATCCCTTTAAATTAAAAATAAAAATTATACATGCACAATAGTCCTGTTTTCCTATTTTCCACAAAATATCAAAAAGAAACGGAAGATAAATATGAAATGTTTACTTTCTTCAGCGGATGCATATACTTCCGAGTGAATTGGCATAGGAAGAATATTTTAAATATATAATCCGTTCAAGATCATTGCACGCGATTTTTCCGCGTGATGGCCTAGGAAAATTGAATTAAAACGATGCAAACTATTGACAAACAAGTTGATGAAACAAGGATATCAACAGTCTCGTTTGAAGTCATCATTTTGCAAGTTTTATGGTCGATATAATGACCTTGTCAGCAAATACAACCTGTCATTAAGGCAAATGCTGACTGACGTTTTTTATACTAATTGTTAGGCCATTATTAACACACTGAATTGTCATAGGATTTTCCCGTTTTTCCCGATCATGACAAGGAGCACTCGGCGGGTGTGACCGGTCGGCAGAGATGTTCACTCTTCCGTGGCACCCGATCCCACCTTTGATGTTTTTGGAGGCTCGTGTTTGCTCTGCTCCTGATTTATAAAGTCCAAATGGACTTAGAGCTTGAATACTGCTCTATCTCCAAAATGTGTGCCAATTAATTGTCGGGAACATAACATTATTTTTCAAAGTTTGGGGTTGGAAATACGAAAATAAGGTTTGAGTTTTTTAAATCCGGGATGGGGATGGGGGTACATTCTAATTTTGGGGGTATAGTAGTTTTTGGGTACGCTACAATAACTACCACAGGAGGGCTCAACCATGCTGCAGCAAAAAGGGCATTGAATGAAATCCACCATAAAAATTAATAGCTATATATAGATTCTTTTCATACAAGGGGCGGACGTCTTGGTTCTACGGTTCTGATTGCAGCTGTTTGCAAAATAATATAAACATTTTAAACCTTTTCCCTCTTTTTTCTAGGTGCCCTTTCCAAGAAAGTTGAAAATATTTTTGCAACCCAAATTTGCATTGAAACATGTATTTGTATGTCCACAATATTAGCTATGAATCTTTTTCACAAACGTTCTTAGGAAAAGGGATCCCCATAGTCCAAAAAGTATCAGAATTTTGAAACGAATCTGGATTAGAAAACGAACGTGAGACAGTTAAATTTGTTTAATATTTTTCCAGCCCAGCATCATGGGTAAACTTCTTTTCTGTTATTATACTCTCGAGTTATGGGCTGTTTGGTTATGTTCTGGTGGCTCACTAAATCCAAAATAGTTTCCTTCTGAGGCTGTAATTAATTATTATTTTGTTTATTGTAGCTTTGACACTTTTATCAAGTGATAAATCCCTAATTACCAATTTCCTGGAAACCGAAGAAGCTTCTGTCAAGAAAATTGCAGCGAGTTTTGATTCCAAAGTGTTAAAGAATAAGGTAAGAGACTAAACATAATTCAGTGAGTTACTAAATAAGATGGGGTTATAGTTATGTAGTTAAGAATAGTCCACGCGAGTCATTGTAAGATCAACAACAAGAAATTCACAACGAGGTAACATCTAAACGTGTATAGTTATGAATACAATTACTTCAGTATTTTAAAAATTGACCTATCTAAGATTCTGATACCATACTTTATGCCATGTGTAAGTAATCGTTCACTAGTCACGATAACTTTGTGATTATAATTCACATTTTGGGTTATGTTCTGAACTTCATATAGACAGACATTTATAACAATACCTAACTCCAGGATCATAAATCAGTTTTAGACTTCAGTATGAATTTGTACCTTTGTCTTAAATTTTTGTTGTAAAAACATAAAATTTGAAAAGTTAGTAAAATGTATTCTCTTCAGGTTTTGTTTTGTTTTGTTTTGTTTTTCTTGTAAAAAGCGTCAGTTTATACTATATATTCTTATGTCTAAGATCCTGGCACCTGAAGTTGTAATGGATGTTTAAGATATTTAAAAGGAAGACGGACGCGACAAATACTATATACTAGTATCCCGACCATATTCCTGTTGGGACATAGTAGAACTTTATAATTTATATACAGTGTATATAATCATAAAACTTAAATTATTAATTTCACCCCGTCTTTCAATATTATATCAGTACTTTGATTCTTCTTTAATTTGTTTGTAGATCGACGGGAAATTTATCCGAATTAACGGGGATCCAGGCCCTGGCATTCTTGAAGTATGCAAAAACGAGAAGGCATCTATGATAGTGATGGGATCACGTGGTCTGGGGACGGTGCGTCGGACGCTATTAGGGGGAGTTAGCTCTTATGTCATGTATCATGCGTCAGTTCCGGTGATAATATGCCGAATGTAGTGACAGGAACTGTAAGACTTTGGAAATGTTTTGATATAACAGCGACAACAGTACATATAGACAATCTTCCCACCCAACTCACCATGAACGACAATGGAACGAGGATTTCCAAAACACTGTATCTGTTATTATATAAGAATATATTTTGATTCTATATTGCGTCTTTCATGTCTTATGTATGCTGGTATGTTATGAGTTAATCAGCATGATCAGGAGTATAGTTTATTCATTAACAAAATGACATAGAACAACTATACGCAGTGTTTCAGTGATATTTTTGATATATTGATGGTATGGGTTATTCTGTTCGTCGTATCAATAGAATACGGTTCCCATGTGGTTTAATAATTTCTCCGAGATGAAGTCATTAATCATGTTCCGAATTACCAAATGCTCTGTCGATGATTACACAGTATGAGTTTACTGTCATAGAACCATCAGATTTAATTCCCTCTCTCTGAAAATGAACGAAAATTGCACTCACAATTTCAAAGTATTACCATCTGGCTAAATTACTGGCAGATTTTATTTTGTCTTTTATGTTTTATATTTGTGTAGATGATTATAATAAAACCCACGTCCATTGCGCGAATCATTTCTGAAGAATATACTCATGTTTGCCAGTATTCCAACTTAAGACAAGACTGACTTCTGACAGAGCTACTTAAATATTTGTGTTAGAATATGAAACAGAATAAGAGTGATCACCCTTGTGGTTTATATCTGAGGATTGCCATCGGACATTTGATCCAGAAAAAATCAATATAATTAAAAGTTGTCAAACAACACATGGTGTTCGGATGATATAAGTGAGAACCTCGAAGTCAATAAAGACAGGAAGAATTTCCCGTCTTCTCGATGTTACTTAACTAAGTCATTCAGTCTTCTTGTGCATCATTGATACCAGAACGAGCGTGTCCCACTGATATAATTAATGTACTATCTGTAAAGCCTTCTAAAACACACAATACACCTGTATAATTTCCCAGGTGAAAGTTTGTTTTTCTTCACTTAAAACATTAAGATAAAGCCTACGGCATGAAAAATCTCCAATAAATCGGGAGAAAATAAGAATTTTCCTTTGCGCAGAAATCGTTATTTCGACCAAAGAACTTTGCCATGTACTTGTGCTTTGTAGCGTGACTGATAATGTAAATTTGTCAGAAGATATTGTGTTGTCAAGAAGTACACAATAACATCTGATTTTGTGCTTATTCATAACCTCTGGTACTCCAAAGACTGGACTTTTTTAGCTGTTGGAGAGTGTTTTCATATACATGTACATGCAGTTCTCCCTATTGGTAATGATGACAAGTAATCTGCTTATATGTTAATAAAGCTAAAAAACGCACACGAACACACAAACTTGTTTTAAAATTTAGTATTAAAATTAGTTTAACTTGTTCAAATAATTTTTTTTTCTTAATCGCGGCGTAAGGAGTTGATCCTAACGTCGCGGGTTCGAATCCACTGCGGGACGCGGAGACCGGTCTTTCGGATGAGACCGTATAAACCGAGGTCACGTGTCGCAGTAGGTGCTGGCACGAAAAAGAACCCTACTGCTCAATGACCCGCAGTGCCTAGTATAGGTCAAAATTTGCAGCCATCCACCTGCAAGTGGTGGCGTCTCCATATGGGTAAAAAATTCTCGAGAGGGACGTTAAACAACAAACAAACAAAAAATGTCTCGGTTGGTATGAGGGATACTGTAGATTGGGAAATAATCACGATGGTTTTAATTTCACTTTGTTCGCGATTTATCCGCGAAATAAAACCCATCGTGAATGCTATCATTAGTTTTTAGAAACGTTTTAATGCTTATACGAAATTGAAATTAATTTCTTGCAGCGTGAAATTAAAACCATAGCGATTGGTAATTTTTGAGAGATCGTGAAATTTTAACATCGTGGAATTAAAACGACTTACAGTATGTGCCAAGAAGGAGAACTCGAATGAAGAACTTCGCACTCAACCAGTGTGTAACGAGAATGCCGACAAGACCAGAGAAGATACCATTGTATTTTAAAGGTTAAGGATATTTATTGTACTCGAAAAGCTTGCAATCAGATTGCTATATGAACTATTGAAACTATCAGTAGGTCGATCTTGACGAAGTCAAGATGAGCTTATACTATCCCCCCAGACTGGGCGTCCCAGTTAAAGTTTTAGGAGCAAGTATTTACTCAAGTAATTATAGTCCTACCTGCAAGAAATTTGCATGGATAATGCATCTTGGGATGTACACTCCCAGGCTTGCTTGGTTGCTGGATCTGACCTACATTTTCCGGATGCATGCTTAAGTTTTTTTGAGCAGATAAAGATTTTTGAATGTACACTACCAGACTGGCTTCAGATTCTGAATCTGACATACATTTTCTGGATGAGAGATCAGGTTAACGTTTTTGGTACATAGTTATTCCCAATATCTAAAAGCCATTTGATGATCAAACGTGTGTGGACGATACATCTTGAATTCACACTTGGATCTGGCCTATTTTTGGGTGATTGAACAGGTTAACGTTTTTAAAGTATACTGCCCACCATAAATAAGTATACACACAGGAAATTGAATGTCTTTTGTCTATAAAGTAATAAAAAACATAATTAACCATGAATAATATTTAATTTATAATGTGAAAATGAATTGTTAATGATTTAATATCAAAACATTTGAAACAATCATGGAGATTTACAATATTTTGTTAAGTCTATCAAAATTGTGAATAAATGTCAATATTTGGTGTATCCACCACGGGCTTCAATGACTGCTTGTATTATTCGTGGCATACTTTTTATAAGGTCTTGACATCTTTGGACTGGAATATTGTTCCATGCATTACTTAAAACTTGAAAAAGCTCATTGGAATTTTGAGTACGAATGCGTTTCTTTGCAATGCCTAAATCGCGCCACAGGTTCTCGATTGGATTAAGATCGGGACATTGTGGTGGCCAGATCAATGAACGCAGGTTGTTATTTGCCATTCAATCCTTAACAATATTAAATCTATGGCATGGTGCATTGTCATCCATATAATAGTAATTATCACCATAGCCCAAAATATGCGCTGAAGGTACTGCATAGTTCTCCAGGATGTCAATGTAGCCCTGAGAATTAAGGTTTCCTTCAATTCGTTTCATGAAACCTGTCCCTCTGTAAGATATGGCGCTCCAGACAGTTACTCCACAACCACCAAACTTCACAGTTGGCACTATACAACAGTTTTTGTACTCTTCATGTAGCCTGCGTCTGACAAAGATCCTACCATCAGATTCAAATAAAGTAAAGCGTGATTCATCTGTCCACAAAACAGCTGACCAGTCCACCAATGTCCAGTCTGTATGGGTCCTGGCAAAATCCAGTCTCTTCTGGCGATGTACATTGGTAAGAAGAGGTTTTTTTCTTTGCTAACCGAGCAGAAAGCCAGTTCAAGCAGTCTGCGGTGAATGGTGCTATCAGAAGCATCAACCCCACTTTGATTCCAAGATGTTTACGGGATTGGAATGGTATCTTTCCTGTTTGTAAGGCTCTGGCGGATCAGAATTCTGTCTTGTATTGCTGCAGACAATCTTGGTCTCCCACATCTTGGCATGTCAGAGTGAGAATTGGTATCTGTGTACTGCTGGATGGTCCTGTAAACTGTCCTTCTGTAATAAAGAAATTCGATTAACTAACTATAGAATTTGAACTTTAATTCTTAACTATAAGTAACTATAATCCTTTTGTTCAAATTGTCATTGATGATACTTCTAGGGATGCACACTACCAGGTTGCTTCGGTTGCTGGATATGACTTAAATTTTCTGGATTAGTGATTAGATAAAAGTTTTTTGGAGTAGTTTCATTCTATTGTAACTCGAAGTCCAATGGCGACTAATCCAAGTCGATGCATCTAGGTTTTCTTCTGATGCTGATATCTGACTTGCATTTTTCAGGTGATTTAACAACTAAAATTTTGGAGAAGGTCCATTCCTGTGTAAATATAAATTCTACCCTGAACAACTTGTATAGATGTTGCATCTGGGGATGTACACTACTAGAACATTTGTTTGATGTGTCGCATTGCCTTACACAGACAAAGCAATCGTCGAGGTGAGCTTTGTTATCTTTGATTACCTTTGTTTTTTCTACTCACCCCCAGGAATCATGGAGGATGGCCTGATATTTGGACTCTGTGCAAACAAAATGAGTTACATGTATTAACGTTATTCAATTTTAGCACCTCTACACACTCAGTAATTATGCCAGAATTCTGTTGTTCAGAGCTACCCCGCATCTTCTGTACAACTTGCTAGGGTATTAAGTGGACATTGGTATCGAAGTGTGTAGAAGCTCCATCGTAATTGTACAAAAATATATATCTAGACTTGATCAAAAAGAAGAATGTAAAGTTTACCACATATACAGGTTAGATATTTATCTTAAGGACAGGTTGGAATTAATTCATCCCTTTTAATTTCCGTAAAATTCATCATCTTGTACTCACTTATAGTCAAGTAGTGTGCCTAAACCAAGCAGATTCACGGTATGTGATCTGAACATTTTTTTTTAGGTATACATCTTGATATCAGGATTTACAATAATTTTCTATAAGAGAAATTCAGTGTTCTTCGAATACAAATACATGTACATATAAATGATGAATTGAGGAGACATATCAATCTGCATACTTGAATGCTGGAAAATTTGCCTCCCTCAACAAATAGAATACTACTGAAAATAATTATTTCAATATCACTTATAAGTATCCACAGAGCTCTTTAAAATCATTTTTATGAATGAAGTTTTTTGTAGTAATAAAAAATGTTACAACTTTGAATATCTCTCTGTCATTAAGATATACTAAATCAGTGGCGAAATTTGATAGATTACATATAATTGACGTATATTTGTTGGAGTTTGCTCCAATATAACACTCGGATCTAGAAAACTGGTAATGGCTGTAAATGGAATCCCCAATGATAAATGGTGACAGAAGAATTATAAAATCTATCAATTGTTTCCGATAGACAAACTCTGAAGCCTAGGTCAATACGTAAGACTCCAATGTCTAGCATAGAAAGCATAGAAAGACTGAAATTTGAATAAGGTTTTTTCTAATTAATCCAATTCATTATTTCCAACAGCAGTTTTGTTTATTAAAAAAAAATGTCAAAACA